TATATTTAGGAAGTTGTCTCCTGTACCAGTGTGATCAAGTGTATTTCCCACTTTCTCTTCTATAAGATTCAGTGTGGCTGGCTTTATGTTGAGGTCTTTGATCCATTTGGACTTGAGTTTTGTGCATGGTGATAGATATGGGTCTATTTTCATTCTTCTACACGTTGATATTCAGTTATTCCAGCACCACTTGTTAAATATGCTTTCTTCTTTCCATTTGATATTTTTTTGCTTCTTTGACAAAAATCAGGTGTTCGAAAGTGTAAGGATTGATATCCGGGTCATCTATTCAGTTTGTCCTCCTGTACGTTCTTTTTTTTTTCTTGATGATTTTTTTTTTATTTTTCCATTCAAAAATTTACACTTCCTCCCCTCCTCCCATTCCCCTTCGCCCCATTCCTCCTCCTCCCTCCTCCTCCCTCCGTAAGAGAGGGCAGGGAACCCTGCCCTGTGTTCTTATGCCAATACCAGGCTGTTTTCAATACTGTAACTTTGTAGTAGAGTTTGAAGTCAGGAATTGTGATGCCTCCAGAAGTTCTTTTATTGTACAGGATTATTTTAGCTATCCTGGGGTTTTTGCTTTTCATATGAAGTTGAGTACTGTTCTTTTAAGGTCTTTGAGGAATTTTTCTGGGATTTTGATGGGCATTGCGTTAAATTTTGTAGATTTCTTTTGGTAAGATTGCATTTTTACTATGTTAATTCTGCCTACCCAGGAGCATGGAAGATTTTTCCACTTTCTGGTGTCTTCTTCAATTTATTTCTTCAATGATTTAAAGTTCTTGTCATATAAGTCTTCTACTTGTTTGGTTCGAGTTACTCTGAGATATTTAATGCTATTTGTGGCTATTGTGAAGGGTGTTGACTCTCTGATTTATTCCCTAGCCCCTTTATCATCTGTGTACAGAAGGGCTACTGATTTTGTTGAGTTAATCTTGTATCCTGCTATATTACTGAAAGTGTTTATGAGTTGTAGAAGTTCCTTGGTAGAATTTTTGGGATCACTTACGTAAACTATCATATCATCAGCAAACAGTGAGAGTTTGACTTCTTCTTTTCTGATTTGTATCCCATTGATCTCCTTTTGGTGTCTTATTGCTCCAGCTAGGACCTCAAGAACTGTATTTAATAGATATGGAGAAAGTGGACAACCTTGTTTTATTCCTGATTTCAGTGGTATCGCTGGGTTTAGTTCGATGTTGGCTGTTGGCTTGCTGTATATTGCCTTTATTATGTTTAGGTATGTTCCTTGTATCCTTGCTCTCTCCAAGACCTTTATCATGAAGGGATGTTGTATTTTGTCAAAAGCTTTTTCAGCATCTAATGAGATGATCATGTGGTTTTTATTTTTCAGCTTGATTATATGGTGGATTACATTGACAAATTTTCATATGTTGAACCATCCTTACATCTGTGGGATGAAGCTGACTTGGTCATTGTGGATGATGGTTCTGATGTGTTCTTGGACTTGATTTGCCAGTGTTTTCTTTAGTATTTTTTCATCAATGTTCATGAGTGAGATTGGTCTGTAATTATTTTTCTTAGTAATGTCTTTCTGTGGTTTGGGTATCAGGGTAATTGTAGCCTCATAAAAATAGTTTGGCAATGTTCCTTCTGTTTCTATTGTGTGGAATAATTTGAGGAGTATTGGTATTAGTTCTTCTTTGAAAGTCTTAATTTAGAATTCTGAGCTGAAACCATCTGGACCTGGGCTTTTTTTTGGTTGGGAGACTTTTGATGACTGTTTCTATTTCTTCAGGAATTATAGGTCTGTTTAATTTGCTTTTCTGGTCTTGATTTAATGTTGGTAAGTGATATTTATTCAGAAAGTTGTCAATTTCCTTTAATTTTTCCAATTTTGTGGAATAGAGATTTTCAAAATATGACCTGATGATTATCTGAATTTCCTCTGTGTCTGTTGTTTTGTCCTCCTTTTCATTTCTGATTGTGTTAATTTGGATATTTTCTCTCTGCCTTTTGGTTAGTTTGGTTGTCTATTTTGTTGACTTTAAGAACCAACTCTTTGTTTCATTGATTCTTTGTGTTTTTTTCTTTGTTTCTATTTTGTTGATTTCAGCTCTCAATTTGATTATTTCTTGCCGTCTAGTTCTCTTAGAGTTTGCTTTTTTTTGTTCTAAAGTTTTCAAATGTTCTGTTAATTCACTAGTGTGGGATTTTTCCAGCTTCTTTATGTGGGCATTTAGTGCTATTAACTTTCCTCTTAACACTGCTTTCATTGTGTCTCATAAATTTGGGTTTATTGTGTGGTCATTTTCACTGAATTTTAGAAAGTCTTTAATTTCTCCCTTTATTTCTTCCTTGACCCATTGATGATTCAGGTGAACATTGTTTAATTTCCATATGTTTGTGGGTTTTCTGGAATTAGTATTGCTGTTGACTTCTAGTTTTAAACCATGGTGATCTGATAAGATACGTTGGGTTATTCCAATTTTTTTGTATTTGTTGAGGTTTGTTTTGTTACCGAGTATGTGATCAATTCTTGAGAAGGTTCCATGAGGTGCTGAGAAGAACGTATATTCTTTTCTGTTTGGATGGAATATTCTATAGATGTCTATTAAGTCTACTTGAGACATAACATCTGTTGGTTCTCTTACTTCTCTGTTCATTTTTTGTCTGAATGACCTGCCTAGTCTTGAGAGGGGAATATTGAAGTCTCCCACTATTAGTATGTGGGTTTAATGCATGATTTAAGCTTTAGTATGTGGGGTTTAATTATGATTTAAGCTTTAGAAGTGTTTCTTTTACATATGACAGTGCCCTTGTATTTGGGCATTGTATATATCTTCAGTACTGTGATTTTTCTGTGACTAATATGAAATGACCTTCTTTGTCTCTTTTGACTGATTGTAGCTTGAAGTCTATTTTGTTAGATAGATGTCTTCCAATTTTTTGTTTGTCTTTTCCCCCGTTTCTTTAAGGGAATTTCTTGTTTCCTCTTTAAGAGTTTCAAACATTCTCTTGAAGTTATTTTTTAGGTCATTTTCTTCTGCTTCATCTATGTTTGGTTGTTCAGGCTTGCTGTTGTAGGGTCTTTAGGTTTTACTGGTGTTGTGGTGTTACATGTGTTCTTACCTCTTCTACTCATCCTTTCCTCTAATAGATATGGTTGGGGCTGTCTGAGATTCTGTTGAATAATCTTCTAGGTACCAAAGAATCCAAAGCTCAAATGGTTGTTTCTTGTGGTACAGTCAGTGCCACAGTTCTAGTTACCCCGTTGGTTACTCCATGTTCCTGGAGATAGCTCAGTGCTCCTGTGTTTTGCTCTGCTCCCTTGGAGTTTGCTGTCTCAGACCTAGTTTGGCCTAGGTTACAGGCTTTGACCTGTGTCTGTAAATCCTGGTCTGGATCCCCTCTTGGAGAAGTCCCTGGCTTGGAGTTGGTCCTGCAAAGGTTTCTGGCTCCCGTCTACTGCCTCTGAGTTCCCAGACTCGGGTGTGCCGAGAACCACAGAGGACCTGGTTCAGGCTTATTTCCTCAGAAGTCCCAGACTCAAGCTCCGACCTGCAGAGGTTCCAGGTTCCTGCCTATTTCTTTTGATGTCCCAGTTCAATGCCCAGACCCACAGAGGTCCTGGCTTAGGCCTACTCCCTCTGTAATCCCAGACTCATGCCTGGTCCTGCAGAGATCTCTGGTTCCTGCCTAATCCCTCGGAGGTCCCAGGTTCACTCACGCCCAGACCTAGTTCCTGGGATGTCCTAGACTCATGCCCAGACCCACTGGGATCCTGGCTTAGGTCTACTCCCTTGAAGGTCCCAGATTCATATCCTCCGTGATCTCTGGCTCTGGCTCACTTGCTCAGTGGTTACTCCCCTTTACCTGTTCCAGTAGAGATCCCGGACTCTGAATCTGATCACTGACTCAATCCTGATCCACCAGTGTCCTGGGACTTGGTTGGCTCCCAGGACTGGATTTGCTCCTGGCTTCTTCTGCTCCCAGTGGAGCTTGTTTCCTCCTAAAGGTTTTTTTTTGTTGTTGTTGTTGTTTGTTTGTTTGTTTTTTGGTTTTGGGTTTGTTTGTTTGTTTGTTTGTTTCGAGACAAAGTTTCTCTGTAGCTTTGGTGCCTGTCCTGCAACTAGCTCTCGTAGACCAGACTGGCCTCGAACTTACAGAGATCCACCTACCTCTGTCTCCTGAATGCTGGGATTAAAGATCCACCCACGCTTCCACCACCCAGCTTAATTTTTAAAGGTTTTTAATGACTGTGTTTTTATTTTTATTTTTTTAGACAGGGTGTTACTATGTAGCCCTCATTGACCTAGAACAGATAATGTAGACCAGTCTGACTTTACTCTTTAGTGCTGGTGTTAGAAGTTGTATGCCACCACACCTGGTAATGGTTGTGTTTTTATTTTTCAGCAGTTAAAGAGCTGTTTCGCTGTTACACATAGATACTGACTTTCCCTCACAGTCATGCTAAAAGGTCCACGATAGAGTGAATTTTCAAGCTGATTTCCTTAAAGTTAATACCAACAGAGCTTAAATGGAGTGTGATTTTATATTCAATAGCAGCTAGCATAGAATATATGATGTATAATAAATGTGCAGTAAGTACCATAGGGAATTTAAATATATTTGCACATCAACACTTGGAATGGAGTGTTATTATACTCTGAGCATATGAAAACATACTGATGGATACTTTCCATTGATTTGTTTTTTTAAATTTTTTGCTGTAATAGTGATGATTTACTTATTATGCTTAATATATTAAGAACAGAATATATTTTAAAAAGTCAGATCCTGTTATTATGTTATTTTTACCTGGAAAAAATGGAACCATCTCATACTTACATTTCTCTACTTCCAGTTCCTTCATTAAATATTAAGAATCTTTCTATTAAGAATACTAGTAGAAAAAGTTAGGATCAATACAGTTTGCTTTATTTCAGATATTAATCTTATCAATTTTGAGACTGATTAAAAAGAAAAGTAGTAAAAAGAAATAATCCCATTGTTTGTTGCTCACATTTTAGGTAACTTAACATTATTAAAAAAGAAAAAGAAAAAATGAAGAAGAAAAGAAATAAAAACACCTTTCATCCCTAGAGTTGAGCACACATATTTTTTTTTTTGTAGAAGGATGAATCAGTTGATAGTCAAACAATTAACAGTTCTTCTCTGGAAAAATTTTACATTAAAGGTAGGTAAAGGCATCATGGGAATGTTCATAAGAGCCTTTTTGTTATATTTCAGTCTGTGTACACCTGTACATGCACTTTTGAAAAATTCAAAATTGTGGGTAGATCTTCCAAATATATAAATGCCAAGGAAAGAGTACTGCGGAGTGACCTAAAAAAAAGTTGGGAGAGGGAATAGGTAGTTGATATAGTTCAGGAGAATTTTACAACCCAGGCCTAATGCTTAGAGGTAGTAATATACAAAGACCAGAAGAAAATCTCCAGATAATGCTTTTGTTAAGATCTGCTGCTGCAGAGGAAAAGGAAGGCAACACAAGAGTGTCCTTCATTCCTGCTTGTAGTGTGGAGACTACTTTTTAAGGACATGTGTATTAAAGTAATGGTAAGAGAAGCTAACGAAGGGGAGGGTCATCCTTCTTTTCCAGGAAGACATGGAGAATTTCCTGAAACTCGGGTACTCTTTTCCTTTCTTCTATATATAGTCTCGTGCTTCTGCTCATGCCAACTAGGGGAGAGAGACTAAATCTAGATTTATTTAACCTTGAATTAGAGTTTTGAATGCAGCGTTGCTCAAGTGATCCCTATGTCTACATTCAGTACTGAGTAGACTGACCAAAGATTTAAGAAGCAGAGGTGTAGGACAGAATAGTAAAGCAGAGAGGGCAAAGATTTTCATTTTTTTTCAAGTTACATAAAATATCTGCAGGGTCAGAAAGTCAGTATTTTACCAAAGTAGTCTTCAAGTTCTTAGAAAATAACCTAGGCAACTTGATTATAATCCACATGTCAGAGATGTTATCTAGAGAGCATAACTAATGATATGCTGTCCAACTGGGTATCCTCTAAAATTAGTGATTTTGAAGTCACCACAGAATAAGTGAATCAAGGTATCTTTATTTGAGGTTTTATTTGGTAAAAATTCTGTCCCCTTATTTACTCTCCATTTTGAGATATTTAGGATTTACTAGTGGTCATTCAAGTGGCTATATAAAATCCTAGCAATTATTGGTCTGGTCACAAAGAGCTTCTCCTAGCCTTCTGGCCTAACCTGGTATTTCATGGCAAAACTACTGAAAGAGAAGCACATACTCTACTTTGGTTGTGTAACAGGCTGAGGATCCAGGAGTTTGTTTGGTTCCGTCTTTTTATGGTTGCCCTATGGCCTCGTTTTCTAAATAGGTTAACAATCAGATTAATTTAGGAGACAGTGTGATAAAAGCATCATGAATTTAGTGATTGTTCTGTCCAGAGAATGACTTATAAGAGCCATAGTTTTAGTTTCAAATGAGTAAGTTTATTAAGCATGTAGCAAGCAAAAGTAAAAGAACAAAAGGAAAGCAGCAGATAGATAGAAAAATTGTGTATTTACAAATTTAGTAGAAATCAAGACAGTCTGCTAGAGTGTGTGACTGAGAATCCCAGAAAGAGCGGTACTTCACTGGGTGAGGACTCTAAGTAAAATAACAAATGTAAAGCAGCAGGTGGGCAGCAAAGATCCTATCTGCCCTTATAACATCTAGCAGAAGTGACTGGGGAAGCACTGTTTAAACACACGTGCTGTGGTGCCTGACAGAGTCCAAGGCAGAACGTCCTCTGCATGAATGAGCTTCTGGCTTCTCATTCCTAGCATGGGTATATTTATAACTTGAGATAAGCAATAGCAACCTCATTTGGAAATCTTTACTTTCTACCTGTCCTCAAGGCCACCTGTTTTTAATATCATTAGCTGTTTGTTCTTTCCCTTCCTCCTTGTCACAGCATCAGGGGGCCAGTCTTTACCAGAACAAGGAGTCTAGGAGAACTTTTGAGATCTACATGCTCCAGTATGAAGAAGGGGCTCCTTACTCTCATAGTCCACTCTGAACATGGACAAATAGCAATAACAATTTCACCTGTTTTCAATGCTATCTATAAGATTATTATGAGAATTGAATGCATAGAATATATACCATACTTTTAATCACTGACAGATTGTAGGTTCAGGTCCTAAGCATACACCTTCCCTTTATTCCATGGTGGTTCAGAAGTAAAAATATAATAAAACTCTGATGTGCAATGAATATGTACTCTTAAGCTAATCAATAACTCTTTTCCTCCTTTAGAAAAGGCAGATGATTAGTTCAGTAACAGAAATCATGGCAGCTTTGTTGTTTGTAATAATGTTGTTGCTATTCCGTGCATTTACGAATATAACCATTGCTGGACCGTATCATTTCAAACCTCAATCCATTGCTACCATGCCTTCTTTCATCAAAGATGCTAAGGAATGGGAATTGGTTTACATACCTTCTGACATTGATGTGGTAACAGAAATCATTGAGAATGTAAAGAAGAATCTCAACACCACTATAAAAGGTTAGACTTTCAAGTTTTCTAGAAAATCTGTTAAATCTGTAAAACCAAACTAATGCTGAAAGTTAAAGTTGAAGGGGATCCTGTGTCTTACCATTAAGACTTGCATTGTGCTGGTGATAGATCGGTCAGTGTGAAATTGTTAGAGACTTAGACAAATCGGTGTAAGAACAGAGAACCCAAAAGTAGATTTATTGCACTGACGATGCCAGAATGACTTTGAGGGTGATGCACCAGAATGTAGTGAAAGAAAATCTATTCAGCAAATAGTAATGGAACAGTTGGACACCAGTAGTTAAGACAACACAAATCCATATCTTCTCTAAAATTAACTGAAACTGGGCCATAGACATAAATGTAAAATGATGAAGCCTTTTGGAGACAGCATGTGAAAAAATCTTTATGACTTAGAACTAGTTGATTGCTTAGGCATGATACAAAATTCATGATCAATAAGAAAGATGTAAGTTATTTGGAGTCCTGTTATATAATATAGAAGTTATTCCTCTTAAAGTTAAAAATCATACTCTGTTTCTTACAGTTGATTTAAAGCTAATATTTTCCTACCTTAATGTAATATCAAAAACAGAGATCCCTCAACATTTTCTCTTTAGGTTATAGTTTTGTGGAGATTGGTATGGTTTGAGGGCTTGCAGCTTGTTGGTTTGTTTGCAGTGCTGGAGATTGAACCTAGGGGTCTTATGCATGCCGGGCAGGCCTTCTACTAAGCTATGTTCTCAGCCCTGGAGCTTTCAGTTCTATATAAATTAGAAACTACACCAGCAATATTATAACTCAAAAAATATATTTTTGAAAGATAAGCAAAGCTAAAGTTTATTCGAAGAGAAAAAATTATTGTAGTTAAAAAGCCAGCATGGAGGTCAGCTATATGGTGGACAGCAGCTACATGGTGGGAAGGGGAGCATTTTTAGAGAAAGAATAAGCAAGCCAAGGTACAAGCATCAACAGCATCTAAAAGCAGAAAGAAAGAGACAAAACAAGAGAGGATAGAAAGGGAGGGAGGGAAGGATGTGTGTGTGATATATACATGTGTGTATATATATGTGTGTGTGTGTGTGTGTGTGTACATATATAATACACACACATACATACAGTAGGCTATGGGGGTGAGAATTCTGGAAAGGAAAAGTACATTATCTCATTAAAGAAATAATTATTCCTCTTCCTTCCTTTCTTTCTTTCTTCCTTCCTTCCTTCCTTCCTTCCTTTCTTTCTTTTTAAAGCTGGCTTAAAGTGATCCTGCCTTCCTGGGTGGGGTTCCCTTATCCAGGTCAAAAATTTATCAAACTGGATTGACTCTTTTATGTTTTGGGTAACTTGAAATATTAGGTCTCTACCTATGCCAGAGAATTCCATCCTGGTTTCTGTGTCATTCTCCCCTCTGAAGAGGTAACCCTAACATCCTTTAGGATATGGGCTAAAATTTAAAAAATATTTATAACCCATCTTTATGGAAATCTAGAAATCCAGTTCCAAAGATGATACCAATATCTGTACTGGAATTCTAGACCCTTTCCTTCATATAGAAACTTTTAGGCTATGCTCGTTTAGGAGGGGGTGAAAAACTAGAACTCCCTTCTGGTATTCCTGGCCATGCTTTGTGTAGTCCCTGTCCTGAGTGCCCTGTTCAGTTACTGTCACTTGTTCTCATTAACAACCTCTGAAGAGGTGACCATAACTGCCATTAGGGAATAAGGATAATTACTGATCTGGCTTCTTGCAGCTGATTGGGGCATTGAGTATGGCAGTTGGAGTACTTCTCCAGTGAACCTATCTAAAAGGTAACAAAGTGTATCCATGATTTATATATCTTAACTGCCAAATGTAGGAAGGAAAGGAAGTTCTTGACTGACAACCGGGAAGAGACTTGAGGGAGAAGCAAAGGCAAAAGTTATTAGACTTATAAGTCTGAGAATGGGAGGGAGCCAGGAGAGGTCAAAAGAGAAGTATTTTAAAATGTCTACTTCAATCCACTTGAGCCTCTTGATGGGTCCATCCTCTGTGCTCCAGTTTTTGAACATACCATATATTTATTTAACACTTATGAGTCAGTGGACCTCAGTGTACTTGGAGTGGTACAAGCACTATGGCAATCATTAGAGTGTTGTTATTGCCTCTAAAGAAACTGTGCATAATCTCTGAACTCCACCGCATTAGAAAAACACTAGAATACTTTGTTTGAGTAGATTGTTGGATGACATTGTGCTACTTACTGGCTCATCTAACATCATATAAGCTTTTCACTGTAAAATTTATAAACCACCTGTGAGATTTTATACCCATACTGTCTATTAGTTACTCATGTCAACATTTAAGAAAGAAAATCATAAGAGTCACAGATCTCAGTAGATTTTTATCTGTGTAAAGTAGTATCCTACCTCCCAAACAAAATTATGAGATGTTTTTATTTAAGCAGATAATTTTGTTTCCCTGTAGTTCGAGGCTTTGCTTCAGAAGCTGAGTTTGAGAAGTATATTCTGTTTAATTATACATCTCAGAAGGTGCTGGCTGCTATTGTTTTTGACTGTGGCTTCAAAAACAAAAATGATCCTCTGCCACTTAAGGTAAGAAAATTTTACTTTTCATGTAAGGGTTTTCAAGTAAGTTGTGTTCTCATAATAGTACCTTCGTGTCTCGAATTTTTTAATAAATTAATTATTATTAGCCCAATTTTGCAAATGAATAAAGTATCATTCCTGATAACAAATTAGTAATATGTCATAAAGCAAGAATATTAGTCCATCTGTGAGTGACTTAGTACCTTTGTACACATTGCTAATTCTAAGAGACCTTGATTATAAGTCTTCACTATCAGATTGACTAGATTTAGAATCACTTAAGAAATATATAAAGTATTTCAGAAAAGGTCAACTAAGGAAAGAAGACCTATCCTAAATATGAAGAGCAATATCTTGTGGCTGTACAGACAAAATAAAGGGTGAAAGGAAAAAGCCAACAGAATCCTGGCACTTCTCGTTCTTATCTTTCCTGGCTGCAGTGTGAATTACTCTGCTCTGCTGTGCCTTTCTCCAGCCTCTGAAACTGGGTCAAAATAAATCTTTATTCCTTAAAAATTGTTTCTGTCAGATATTGTGATCATAGCAACATAAAACATACAGGAGGGTACTGTAGAATGAGGGGAGACCCTAATTAACCAGCATTTGTCATAGCACATACAGGGTGGTAAAGATGTGCTTTAAGGCAGAGACATTTTATTATTATTATCAGATAACTAACTCAGAAATTCTTTCTTGGAATCAAAGACAGTATAATTCCTTTTATAAATCTCCAAAAAACTTGAAGATTTAGCTGTATCAGTTCAGCCTTGGGATATGAAGACTGAAGAAGAGCTGGCGGTGTCTGCAGAAAGAAGAGGAAAGAGCAGTGCTTTGATTTTGGAGTCTCTAGCAAAATTTACAAACATCCATCCTGTGGTTATAGAAATAAGTTATCAATCTATAGAATCTAGAGATGGGGCCACACCCACTGTTTTGTTTCTAAGACAGGTGCTTATGGGAAAGCAGGAGTAGAATCCATGTAATCTTATGTGGATCCCATATTTTCAAGGCTCTATTCATCTATGTCAGCTTTCCCTCGTAACATAAAGCTGTATACCTGTGGATGAGGATTTAGGCACATGTACATTTTCTCAATATTTATTGACGCAAAGTGTCTGTGATGGTTTGAAAGAAAATGGCCTCATAGGCCCATAGGGAGTGGCACCTTTAGGAGGTATGGCCTTGTTGGAGTAGGTGTGACTTTGCTGGATGGGGTGTGTCACTAGGGGGCAGACTTTGAGGTCTCAGGTCACACCTAGTGTGTCATTCTTTTCCTGCTGCCTGCAGATTCAGATGTAGAAGTCTCAGTTCCTTCTCTAGCACCATGTCTGCCTGTGTGCCACCATACTTCCCACCATGATGACAATGCACTAAACCTCTGAAATGTAAGCCAGCCCCTGTAGGTGGAGTTTTCCTGTCCCAGCTGCCTGCTTCTAAATAACTGGCAGCTGCTTCCCAAATAGCTGACTCAGAGACTTAATATAAATTATAAATGCTCAGCCAATAGCTCAGGCTTGTTCCTAGCTAACTCTTAGACATAAAGTAACCCATATTTCTTACCTATGCTTTGCCATGTGGCTTGGTACCTTTTCTTAGTATGGCATGCCCATGTTACTTCTCTCTGACTCCTCCTTTCTTCATCCCAGCATCCTTAGTTTGGTTGTCCTGCCTATACTTCCCACCTGGCTATTGGCCACCAGTTTGAGAGACAAATCTTTGCAGTGTACAAGAGGATTATTCCACAGCAAGCCCCAATGAAATGTTTTCCTTTATAAGAGTTGCTGAAGTCATAGTCTCTATTCACGACAATAAAACCCTAAGATAGTATCTTCAAGTTTTATTTTCCCTACCTACAGACTGTTCTCAAATCTTGAATGAAATTCCAAATGTTAAAATTCCCATAAATTTTCTCTAGTACTTAGCCTATTTTGATAATTTTCTTTCTAAAATTTTATTTATTTATTTATTATTGTGTTTGATGTGTGTGTGAGCACAGGCACTCAGTCACAACCACAGCATACATGTAGAAGTCAGGGGAAAACTTTGGAGACTCAGTTTTCTCGTTCCATTATGGGTTGTGGGAACCAAACTTGGCTCTTCAGGTTTGCACTTTTACTTCAGCCAGTACGTTTACCCTCACAGCCATCTTGCCAGCCTTGTTTTGATGATTTTCTAAATGAATACTATGGTATCTGTTGATGATTTCATTTATAATGTAAACAAATAGATACCAGTTCTCTTTAGTTTATGTTCCTGACAAAATCTTTTGTTTATCCATGTGGATATCACAGTGAACCTTTTCAGCCTTAGATGAGATCATATCCTCATTCTAAGTAAAAGACTGTAATGTGGTGCTTGACATGGCTCTGTAGCTGGAAGTGCTTGCCTTGAAAACCTGACGAGCTGAGGTTAATCCTTGGAGCCCATGGCAGAAGGAGACAACTGACTGCTGAAAGATCTTCACACACAGGCAATGCAATGTATGTACCTGGGTGCTCTCTCCCTCTCTCTCTCTCGCATCATATATACATATACTCACACAGTAATAATAATACATTTGAAAAAATTTAAAAATTCTAGTGGCTTACTTAGGCTTATATACAGTATTTGGCACAAGATTTATGGCCATCCAGAATGTGTCTCTGTTCCCATATCTGGAATTTTTTACTATTTACTCAAGGAGCTCCGTACAGATACCGTATATTTCTACTTCTGGGACTTTGGCATTAATTTTCTTTAGCATGGGGTTGCTCCTGTGAATTTTCATTCAGTGTAGTTGTATCCTCACCCTTTCTGTTCTCTAATAATAATCTATGCATATTTCTAGTAGTCAAACAGCTTTTAGGGAACACAGTTCTGTAGGTTTTCAACAGGGATTTTAATGTAAGGAAATGTTTTATTTATGGTATTTAAGTGTAACTTTAAGTCACTGTTAGCCAACAATGCAACAATGTAGAGTGCCTAGCATGCTTTCCCAGTTAGGTGAACCGTAACTCTCTTGAGCCCTTAGTTGTTAAGCTATTCATTGGTGTGCATTTTCCATTCATCCTACAAGGATTAGATTCAGGTGCCTGATTGTCTGTAGTTCTGCAAACATTTATTGCTCGGCTTTTTAATATGCCAATATAAGTAGAAAAAAGGTAGCTTATGTTTCTGTAGCATAAGTTTACATTTATTTTATTGCATGCCCTTGAGAATCTTTTTATGCATGTCCTGTTGGTGTGGAACAATTGTCTATATTCTGTCAACCATGTTTTAAATAAACGCTGATTGGCCAATAGCCAGGCAGAAAGTATTGGTGGGACAACCAGACAGGAAGTAGAGGTTGGTCAATGAGAACAGGAGTATTCTGGGAAGAGGTAAGCTCCCTCTGCAGCCGTGACCCAGCCACCCAAGAAGCAAGATGTGACTGCCCCGCTAAAAAAGGTAGTGACCCATGTGGCTAACATAGACAAGAATAATGGGCTAATATAAGTTAGAAGAGTTAATAAGAAGCCTGAGCTAATGGACCAATCAGTTTATAGTTAAAAAAATGCAGGAACTGGGCAGGACAGAAACCCCAACCACATCCTGTTTTATATGTTTTCTGTATTTGAGTAGAATTCAAATGTGTCTAATGTGTATACATTCTCTACCTTGCTCATTGTAAATGCTGGGCATTCAGAATATATCAGATTGGTTTCATCCTTAAAAATCACATGTTTTTCTAGTAGGGTGTAACTTTATTGCTAACATTTGTTTTTAAGTTTCTTTTTGACTTTCAGCATACATGACTTCTTATTAATACTTTCAGGTAAAATATCATTTGCGTTTTATTGGTACACAAAGGACCATCTGGTGGCCCGACAAGCTAGGTTGGAAAACAGCATTTCTTTTTCCTAATCATCCTCCTATACAACCCAGGAATCCAAATTTTATTGATGGAGGAAGTCCTGGTAAGAAGATCCTTCAACATGCTTATTTTATCAAAATGGTTGCATGCTAGTGCATACATAGGCTTGTGTTTAAATATTTGTATTTATTTAACAAAAGAGAAATGTTTATTGTTCATGATAACTAAAATTTATATTGTAAAAATACTATTTTTCAGTCTTTACTCTTGATAAACTTACATTTCATATTGTATGCACCTTCAGTTCTTTTATCAATATAAACATATTTTTAAATTTGGCTTTTATTCAGATGTATTTGCTATATATGTGTGGTAGTTTGAAAGAAAATGGCCCCCAAAGTATGTGACACTATTAGGAGGTATGCTTTGCTGACGTAGGGGTGACCTAGTTGGAAGAAGTGTTGGGGTGGATCTTGTTGCCTGCATATCAACATGTAACCACTCCTTCTCCAGCACCAGGTCTGCCTGTGTGCTACCGTACTGCCCACCATGATGATAATGGACTAAACCTCTGAAATGTTTTCCTTTGTAATAGTTGCCATGGTCATAGTGCCTCTTCACAGCAACAGAAACCCCAACTAAGACAATATGTATATATGTCTGGGGTTCAATACATACACATAGTGTGTTGCATCAAATCTTGCTTCTCTTCTACCTCAGATACCATAGTTCAGTGTTTAGATTAATGTTATTTAATTACACTGAGAACACACAATACTAGTTTGCCTATGTGTGTCTTATTTAACTTGACAGGATATAACCCTGGCTATATCCATGTTGCTATAAAGTGCATGATTTTGAAGTAATCCTTGTAAGATAGTTATTGACAACCAGTTAAATGATTTGAGAACTTTTTTATTGATGGCCAGACCAAGAACAGGCTCCTGCCTCTGAAAAGTCTGTTGATGCCTGACCTAGGATACAGCATTTTTAAAGACAAAACCATAATTGCATCAGTACTCAAGGTGTATGTGTGGCAGAGTACATTAATGAGTGATTTAGAGTGGCCTAGTAACATCTGCTTTCTTTTGAGACTCAGTGGTATCTTCTAGACACTTTGTAATATGTTTGGACTATGTTTAAGGTCATGAACTGTCTGTTAAGCATTGGCATGGCAGAGAAGGCTGTTGGTGAGGGGTGGAAAGCCTAAGAAGTGGCTAGGCAAACACAAAGTTGGGATAGGATGCTGTTATCATCATCATTTCTGTTTAATCCTTCCTTATTACGAAATAGTACTCCTCTGTTCTTGCCATCCATTAAGCTACTGATGAATACCTAGGCAGACTCCATTTCTCAACTACTATGAGATAACCTTGTGCATGTGTCTATCTCCTTGCTATACCTTTTATTGAAAATAGATTTTTTTTTTTTTCAGGGACCAGCCTCGACAAAACACCTTTTGCCAAGTGTAGGGGCATGGGGATGAGAAATATAAGGAAAGAGTATGAAGATGCAGAAATAATAAAACAGAAGGCATAGAATAGCACCAGGAGGGAGTTCCAGTGAATCCTAAATTTGTCCGCATTTAATTTTCAACACACTTTTATACCACAATACAAAAGGGGGAAGAAGGCGACAAAAGACTTCTTTAACATGATACAAAGGACAAGTCGAACAGTTAATTGCTTTAACACACTGAGACATCAAGTCACTAGCATTCTGTTGTTTAGACAGTGAAGCCACACTAGACCAAGTATCCTGAAGGCAGCACTCCCCAGGTAACCTCATATTACAAAAGAAGGAACAGATATACACTTGCATATTCTGACCATCTGTCAGGATGGAGTGGATCTACTTGTATGAGCCATCTTAATATCAAAAGAACCAAGTAACCACATCCTGAATTAGGATATGTAGCTACACATGTTGTCAACAATTTTGAGCTACCTCCAAACTCTCTATCAGACAAGCTGGAAATAGACTCACATTTTTGGGCCTCCACATCTTTTCTCACATAATATATCCTAATTACAGTTTCCTCTCCCTTCAGTCCTTCCAGTTCCTCCCTACCTCCCTTCCCATCCAATTCACTCCCTTTCTGTCTCTCATTAGAAATGAATAGGCTTCTAAGAGATAACAGCAAAACATAACAAAAAAAAATAAGATAAAACAAAAACCATCACATTGAAGTTGGACAAGGCAAACCAATAGAAGAAAAATAGCCCGAAGAAAAGGCAAAAGAATCAGAAACCCAGTCATTCACACACTCAGGAACCCCACAAAAACACTAATCTCTAAGCCATAATATAATGTGTACACAGAGGACCTGCTGTAGACCATGATAGGCCCTTTGCATGCTGCCTCAGTCTGAGTTCTTATAAGCCTTTATCATGTTGATTTAGAGGGTCTTGGTTTCTTGGTGTCCTCCATCCTCCTTGGTCTTACACTCCTTCCACCTCTTCTTCCATGGAATTCCTTGAGCCCTGAGGGAAAGGATTTGATAGTGATATCCCACTTAGAGTTGAGTGTTCAAAGTCTCTCACTCTGCATAATGTCTGGCTGTGGGTTTCTGTATTTGTTCCCATCTGATGCAGGAGGAAGCTTCTCTGATGAAGGCTGAGCAGGAAACTGATCTGTGAGTACAGCAGAATGTCATAAGGAATCATTTTACTCTTTCTTTCTTTCTTTCTTTCTTTCTTTCTTTCTTTCTTTATTCCTTTCTTTCTTCCTTTTTTAAAGAACAGTAGTATTTGATTTTACCCTAGGCCTCTGGGCTATCTAGTCTCTGTTTCTTGGCCATGCAAGTAATATTGTGTATAGATTCCATCTCCTAGAGTGGGCCTTCAGTCAAATTGGTTAGTTACTCCCATAGAGTTTGTGCCACCATTGCCCTAGCATATGTTTCAGATCAAAAGGTTTATGATGGGTTTATGTTCACATTTCTCTTTTGATAACATGCAGAATACCTTTCAGTACCAAAAACTTTAGAACACAGAGGAGAAGGCTCAATGTAGGCAGTAGCTTGACTTCTCCATTTTCAGTGAGTTGTATAGGTGTTGTCTTCAGCCATGGAGCCTTGCTGTCAATTTGTGGTAAGCAACCTATAGTCTTGGCAACAGCCTGAATTTGAGGGTTGTAACACCCAATTCTGTGTTACCCTCGCGGTACAGTTCGCGCGCCTTCATACCGATCATGAGTCCAGGCAAAGGCCTAGAGATTGAAAGAAACACAAGAGACCTGGGTCATTCTAAAGAAGATCAGCCGAAAGCCACTTTATTCAGCTTTTTGCAAAACTAATATACTTTGGCCCCAGTAAAGGAATTTCCTCGCAGCCAAGGGGGGAGCCTTCCCAGGTAGGAATCTTCCCAGGTAGGGGGGAACCTGGTGCCATGTAGGAACTCCTCCCTGGCGGGTGGGAAATTACCATACCAAAGATGAAACAATGCCCTACAGCTAAATCACCAGGCTATGGCAGAGTGAACACAGGGAACTAGCAGGAAGCTTAGCTGGCTGGCCAAAACTGTCCTTAAGACGCACCCCAGGGAGCAAGGGCCCTACAGAGGGTTTTTGTGGAACTCCTTTGGCCAACAACTCAAGAATATGTAACTCACTCCCAGCACTGAACACTTCAGTTGGTGAAAACAGATGTCCAGCTGGGGCTCTGTCTCCACATTATTTGGCGATTTCATTTAAATCACCTCCATATATGTATATATTTTATGAGGCTTCTGCTATCCCTCAAATGACCCTTAACTTTAGCTGTCTCTTCCAATATTCCCTTCCTCATTTCCCTTTTCCTGCTCCCTTCCCACTTGATCCTCCCATCCTAGAACCCATACCCTTCCAGAATTTACCTATTCTATTTCTCTTTTTTAATGAGATTTATATGTATCCTCTAATTTCTTACTATATGCCTAGCCTCTGTTGTTACTGAATGTGTAATTGGTTTAAAAAAAATCCATTCTTAGTTTGCTGCTTTGTCCAAATGATGGTGTCCTTTGCTGTGCCAAAGCTTTTCACTTTTATGAGGTCCTGTTTATTCACTGTTGATCTTATTGCCTGAATGAACAGTGTTCTGTTCAGTCCCAGGTACTCAAGGCTACCCTAATCTTCTGTCAGGTTCAGGTGTCTGGTTTTATGTTGAAGTCTTTGATCTCTTTAAAGTTGAGTCTCGTACAGGGTAATAAGTTTGAACCTGTTTGGATTCTTCTACATACAGCCATCTAGTTTGACCAATACCATTTGTTGAAGATATTGTCTTTTTTCCAAAGTATGTTTCTGGCTTCTTTATCAAAAATCAGGTGTTCATAGGTGTGTAGATTTATGTCTGGGTCTTCAGTTTAACTCTATTGATCAACATGTCTGTTATTTGTGCCAATACCATACTGTTTTTTTGTTACTGTAGCTCTGTAGTAATCAGGGATGGTGGTAACTCTACCAATTCTTTTATCATTCATGATTGTTTTAGTTACTTGGATTTTTATGTTTCCACATGAAGCTAAAAATTTGTCATTTCAATACCTGTGACAAGTTGTGTTGGAATTTTGATAGGGATTGTATTGAATCTATAGATTACTTTGGATAGGTGTTAAGAATATTTTCTAACAGAGCCTCTCCGCTGGTGCAAAGAATTCCAATCAGACCAGATTAAGCCAAATTAAATGTCCGAGTTTAATAGATGGCGGACTCCTGGATGGCTGGGAGCATGGCAGGGGGGAAGACAGAGGGAACAAACTCAAAACTATGTGTTTCTTCTCTGGGCACTGCCTAAATACCCTGTGGGAGGGGTCAATGCTTTGCAGACTGGGAGTTGGAGTCCAAGCACCTGGCAGGCTGGGAATTGGAGTCCAAGCGCTTGGCAGGCTGGGGAGACACTTCCAACTCAATATTACATTCCAGACTCTTTTGGATATAGGGGTGTGACAAGGAGCTGAGGTGATATTTATGACCAACATTTTAGGCTCTCTTTAGATAAATGGGCATTGGCTCAAGTCTGGCTACTTCCTGCAGGCAAGGGGTGACATAGGAGAGGGGAGAGCTGAGAGTTGGTGTGCTCACGCTCACCGAGAGGTGTGGCTGGGGCAGCATCTGGTTTGCTGACATCCTGGAGTTGTTATGCAGCTGCTTTTTGGGGCAAAGATAAGATAGGTGGCTAGGAGGAAAAAAAATATGGTTATTACTGATCCTATGCATTAACTTCCAGAAAGAGTAGAACAGGGAAATGCCCTGGTTGGACAGGTAAGGCTCGGGTGTATCAGATACAACCAGATTTTAGTTGGTAGGAGTCCTTCATCTAGGAGAGTTGGTACCAATGGTGAAGTCCCAGGAGCTGTTGCAGGTCTTATGGTGTTGTCTGGGGAGCACTTTGTAGGTTGGTCCTGGACCATGCAGCAGGAGTGACCTGTAAAATATGCTTGAAGCTGTCTGGGGTTAGCAAAAGGCTCTGGAGACCGTTATTTTTTTTTTTTTAACCAGACCTGACTTTGATACAGCAGAAGAACTTTTCCAGGAACCTGTAAGAGAACTGGAGCAGATTTATAGCTTGGTGTCATAGCAAAAAAGTTATTGTTTTAGTTAAGACAATTAAAGTAATTGGGAACCCCAGATTTTTAAGATACTCTGGAAACCTGATAGGTACACCTGTTTGTATTTTAGCAGGAAACATTATTAAATGTCATGGATGAAGTAATAAGTTAACAGTACCTAGGTTGTCAAATGCCATTAGACAGATCTGGGAGGGATAAATGAGCAAAAATGAGACAGCATTTTAGCTATGCAGGCAATCCCAAATCCTCTCCTTAGTCCTTGGAGAACCCCAGTCTTAGAAGCAGTGCTTGCCATTAACTGCTGAGTACAAGAGGCCTAAAGATTTTTCCTGTGGGGGGAAAATTTAGTCTACCTGGCTTGGCAGGATGAGAAGATCAGTTCCTGGGTAAAGCATCCAGAAAGCTAGAGAGGTAAAAGGCGGTTTTGGCTGTATGGATGGCTATACCAAACCCAAAGGCAAGGCCTGGAGGCAAAAGGTCTTCTGTCTTCTTGGAGAAGCTGAAGGGTGCAGCGGAATCTGCTTATTTGTGTTAGAGGCTCTTGTTAAAATGCTATGCCCTCAGATCTGTAAAGGCACTTGAGAACTAGGTACCATTACCTATTATTTTAAACTGGGCATATAAGCTAAATTTAGATGTGTATTTTATCCAATTAGTTACAGTTTACCAATGCTAGTAGAATACTAGCACATGTGGAAACTCTTACCAAAGATGGTGGTGAGGTTAAAATGGCGGCTACCCACGTTTGTATTTTTCCAGAGCTGTTGTAATCTGGAAGCACACATGCACACAGAAACATAAATCCACATACTCACGCAGATATATTGTGACCACATCATTCTAATAGACAAATAGGACACTTTTGGAAACCTGTGTCAGCTGACCAACTTAAAAATTCTGGCCCAGTTAGGCCACCCGCTGTCCTTCTCCAATAGAAAGGGAGCTGGGTTTAGATCCCCCAATCTGGAATGGGACAAGAGCTGCTGTGCCTCTGGGCACAGTAGAAGCCCCACTGACTATGGAGGGGTGGAAGTGGAGAGGGCGGGACAAACCACAAGGATCAGCAGAGAAGAAGAGGTGGAAGGGGGCGGAACAAGAGTTCTGGCTGCAAATAAGCAGAGGGTGGCAGGATGAGAGCATGTGTCTAGAAACCATGGACTTTTGGAGCATTGTTAATTTAGGTTAGATAGCCCAATTGAAAAGGATTTTTTGTAAAAGGCCGCTTAAGGACATTTGAATAATCAGCCTGGAATTGTAAGGATTCACTGGAAGCTCATGCCTGTGTGGCTCAAGCCTGTTGCAATGTGTCCACCAAACAAAACCCTTGAGTAACGAACAGGGGTACATAAGAAGTAGATGAGAGACCTCTGCCAGCACCCAAGTCCCATCTCAGCCACATGGATCAGGCTTTTGGCATGGCTGAGACTTCAGTGAAAGCCCGAAAAGCACATGGGTTATCCCAGGGAATCCTACTGGCATAGAGCAAAAGAAGGGGAACTCACCTGAAAGCCAATCTGCAAGGCGGCACTTCACCTGTGGGAAAAACAAACTCATCTCAGTGGGACCTCCAAAATGTTAGGAATATTTTCTAACAGAGCCTCTCCACTGGTGCAAAGTAGTCCAATCAGACCAGATTAAACCAAAGTAAATGCTTGTGTTTAATAGGTGGTCCTGGGAAAAAGCAGGGAAAAGACCGAGGGAGCTCACAAGCAAACCCAAAACCACATGTTCCTCCCCACCCACCCCAGCCTAAATACCCAGTGGGAGTGGTCAGTGCTTGGCAGACTGGGAGTTGAAGTCCAAGAGCTTGGCAGGCTGTGATGACACTTACAGTATCTTCAATACCTGAGAGTCTCTCTTCCTTCTCTTGTATTCTGTTGGTAATGCTTGCTTTTGTAGTTCCTATTCATTTTCCCAGATTTTCCATTTCCTGAATTCCTCCCGTTTGTGTTTTCTTTATTGATTCTGTTTGAGTTTTTAAGTCTTGATCTATTTCCTTAACCTGTTTATTTGTTTTTGTCTTTCTTGAAATGATTTATTGATTTCTTCCAATTTTCTGAGTTTTTTTTTTTTTTCAATTTCTTGAAGGGAGTTTTTCATTTCCTTTTTAAGGGCCTCCATCATCTTCACAGTTACTTTTAAGATTGTTTTCTTATGCTTCAGCTGCATTGGAATATTCAGGTCTTACTATAATAGGATCACTGGGTTCTTGTATTGCCATATTGCCTTTTCTGTTTTTGAATGTATCTTCACACTGGTATTTATACATTTAGGCTTGGGATGATTATAAATATGGGTGTCGATTCTTGTGTTGTTTTGGTTGGATGGATGTTTTATTTGTTTCTTAACTTTTTTTATTGCCTCTTGTCCTAAATGGTCTAGGGCTCTGGTGATTGGCAGATTTTCAGGTCTAGTAGGGTTGTCTTAGGTGAGGTTTGTGGGGTTTGGGTGCCTTTATCAACATATCTTCATTTTCTTCTGATTGATATTGACTATACCTGTGCCTATGGAATCTGTTCTTCTGCTGATATGGATTGTGCCTGTGCCTATGTAGTCTGTTGTTGTTCCAGTAGGTGTAGGTTATGTTTGTGCTTATATAATCTGCTGGGGTTTCACGGGAGGATGATCAGGCGGATGGGGTTGGGGGAACAGGATCCAGTGGGCGGCAGTGGTGGTGGTACAGCCTGGAAGGAAATCTCTCACCTGTTAACTGGCTGCTAGGGACTATACCAGAGCAGTGGAGTTCCGCCAGAGTTGAGGGCAGGGCCCAGAAGCTTTACTGTTGGTGAGATGGGAGTGAGCAAGCACAGGATATGCCCTGGGGTTTAGAGTCTGGAAGTTGGACACACTGGTTCTTCCAAGCAGTGTGAGCTGTACCTGTGCCTATGGAGTCTGCTGGGGTTGCAAGGGAGGGCTGACCACCGGGAGGATGATCAGGTGGGTGGGTTTCTCTGGGTAGCAGAATTGGTGTTGGGGGAGTAGAATCTCACTGGTGGTGACAGTGGGGGTGGTGTAGTCTGGAGGCAGATTTCTCACCTGCTGGCTGATTGCTGGGGATTGCAGCTTGCCAGTTTTATGAATGTTAATATTTTAATTTGGATAAGATAAAAATTATATTCAGCCAAAGAAATGTATTTTATGTCAAATCTACGGTAGGTTCTGTAGATTGCAAGCTAAAGATTATTTGTATTATTTGTATCTTCCTATGTCTGAGTTGCTCCTTAGTCTATTTTATTTGACTATGCATTTTCTCACACAGGGTATATCAGGGAAGGATTCCTGGCAGTACAGTATGCCTTGGATGAGAGCATTATGTTGTATCATGAAAACAGTGCTGGGAAAAAGCTATTTGATGAAATTAATGTTCTCATACAGAGATTTCCATACCCAGCTCATCCTCACGATAAATTACTTTGGATCTCCGGCCCTTTCTTCCCCTTGATGTTCATACTTATGTTCTCTTCCATTGTACTCTCCATCATGCGGTCCGTTGTGTTTGAGAAGGAGAAAAGATTGAAGGTAATATGGCTTACTTTCTGAGAGTTAGTGTAAAAGGCACATATGTGTGTGTTATTATGCACACACAGGCTGTGGATATTTTTGGAAAGTTAATTACTGCACTGTAAATATTCAGCATTTACAGATAGTGCTTATGTCCCAGCAAAGCAATTAGAGACACAAATGTAGAAGAGTGAGTCCTGATGATACCAACTTCACAAGCTGGAAGAGTTTCAGAGACAAACTTTAACAGGGAAACAGCAGAGAAGAAAACCTGAAGTCGAGGAGGACAAAAAATATTACTTGAAATTTTTTATACTTAGAGTAGCAATGAATTTCAAATACAGCCCAGTTCAGGGATAAATTAACCTAAGTCTCAATACTACTGATCCATTAACTGATTCACGATTAGTAAAAAAATCAGAGATTTCTATTGCATGGCAACAGTAATTAAAGAAGTAGTCATGAATTTGTGGGTTGGGCACATTAGGAGCTGAAGGGGGGAAGAAAGGGGATGAAAATTATGCAAATATAGTATTCGTATATGGAATTCTCAAAAAATTTAAAAATGCATAGATGATAGAAATATCAGACAGGTATTTTAACTGCTTGATATTCTAAAGACTGTAAGTATTGAATTATCTAAAATTCTTGGGGTTTGTGGGTATTTTTCACGTTTTTAGTGTCTATACCATCCACATGTGCCATAGCAGCTATAGAGGTCTGCGTACAATCTGCAAGAGTGAATTCTCTCGACTACGTGCTCATTAGAAATCATATTCCGGTTGTTAGGCTTGTCAGGCCCCTTTGCCTGCTGAGCCATCTCTGCAGCCTGGGAATTTTTTTTATAGCAATCTTAATTTCTGAGTTTCACTGGAATCATGGAGTTCATATGTAGTTGTAATTAACATGTGTACTATTGCAGTGCAGTAAAGATGGACATAGTCAAATACACTATTTAACTGAATGAAAATAGCCTATGTATTCTCATAAGCGAAATTTTCAAAAGAAAACATCCTAGCAGTACTTAGGAATGCCTTTAACAGGTTTATTCATAGATAAGTAAAATGAGGAAAGAACTAGAAAAAGTGATCTCAAGACAGATGAGATTACAAAAACTGAAATGTAGAGAGAAAAATGTAAAATTCAGGACAAAATCACCCAAAAAGTATAAAACAATATCAAATGACGTAGCACATGAAATTGGATTCCAGAAAAAAAATGAGAAGAGAAAAGAAATTAAAAGCACTGGGGGAATTTTTCAAAATTAATAACATTAAAATGCAGATACAAAAAGCTCAGAGAATTCAAAGATAAATGTTGCATAAAGATGTGTGCACACACCTGTGCATACACACACACACACACACACACACACACACACACACACACACATACACTGGCTCATTATAGTCAAATTGCTAAAAATTAAAAGCACAGAAAAAAATCTCAAAAGCAAATGGCAGTAGGGAAAAGATACATAGATACCTTTCTCTTATGCTCTGGAAATGAAGCTTTTATCAGGGTGATTTATCTTCTTTTTCCCTCAGCTATGTATTTTTTAATTTTTTATTTAAATAACTTTTTTCATTTATTTTACATAGTGCTTGATGATTTAATTTGAAAGCCAGTGAAATGATTTATTAGCTAAAAGAGTTTACATCACAAGCCTGGAGACCTGAATTCAATCTCCAGATCCCACAGTGGAAGGAGGGAACCTGCTCAGTGGGTGCTTCCCATGCCTTCTCTTAGTGCTCTTGGGGACTTACTTAGTTAATCTGCAGCCCTTGGGAGCATTGTCATTCCAAGTAACAGCTTTATTCAAACCACACACACACACACACACACACACACACACACACACACACATACAATTTTTTACTTACAAAAGGAGAAGGGTATAAGAGGAATAAATGCCATTAAGGATATGTGAAAAGCCCATAAAATAATTTTAAAGGAATAATTGGAAATGGTTTTTTATTTTGTAAATCCTGGATGTAAAATTGAAAAAGACATCTGAACATACATACATATATTTTTAAGAAAAACATTGAGCTTACTTACTGTATAATTCTGATAGACTTCTAGCCTTGATTTTTTTCTCATTCTTAAAATAGAGATAATATCAACCATTTTTATAGCCTTTGTAGTAAAAAATTCAAATAATGATGTGTGAAAGCATCCTGAATTCCAGACATTTAAAATGCTTAGTTTATGTTGCCTATTCTACAGGAATACCAGCTCATAATTGGGCTTAGAAATTGGATCATCTGGGCTGGCTATTTCTTCACCTTCTTCCCTTTATATGTCGTCATCATCTTTTTGATATGTGCATTACTCTTTGTCCAGGCAAGTATCCAGTGTCACACTGTACAACAGACAAAATTAATCACATATATGATATTGAAACTACCTTACTAATGCTTTTTTTAACATAAGAAGAAGCAGGTAACATTCTTTTAAATGTTTAACTCAATTATTTACAAAATATTATTTTCCAATGTAACTATTTCTAAAATAATTTTATATTCTTTTTATTTTTTCTAAAATCTAGTTTTTTTTGTTACTGTGCATCCCAATTCTGACATTAAGTTTAAATAGAAAATACTTATTCTATTTTTAGCAATGTTGTAGTTTTTATTTAAATTTAAGATGTCTTTTAAAGAACAAAATTGATTCCACAGTCATCCCAGCTCTAATTCAGGTGTTCTACAAGTGCACATGGCAAATGACTACTCCAACAAGCAGGTGAGTTTGGATGAGTTGAATCTACCACACAGTCCAGTAAAAGGCGAGATGCACTGTGGACTTACTGTTTCTAGGTTTCCAGTAGAATAAAATTGTTTTTTGTTTATTTCGTTGTTTCTTTTTCTGATCCTACTAGAAAACTCAGATGCTGCTGAGTCTCTTGGCAAGTCTTAACTTCCTGTCTTTTAAGTCTCGCCAGATGAGTGGGGTGATCTATTTCACTAGGGACCATACTTTTGTTTCTTTCGTTGTGTTTACGTGACACTAGTTATAGTGTTACCTGATCTGATGTCATGATTGTTTTATTGTAGATTGCAGAGGAGCCAGTCTTGCGATACAGTGACAGTAGTTTCATCTTTGTCTTTCTTACATGTTATGCCATCGCGTCTATATGCTTTGCCTTTATGGTTAGCACTTTCTTCAATAAAAGTAAGTCTGTATTTGCAGTTCTCTCTAGCTAACTAGAAACACTGCCTTGCATTCTAACATACAAAGAACATTAAAAATGAATGTGCTCCACTGTACCTATAAAGAAGATGTAAAATGCTGACATTGGAACTAAACAATGCTTTCTGTAGTGGTTTATTTAAATTGCTACTGAAGGCAAGCACTTGCCATGTGACAAGACTCTAGTAAGTGGTTCCTCGTGAAAACTCACATTGGAATAATAGGTGTCTTCAAATCACACCAAAATGGTCAAATTAGACATTCTATAGAAATATATTTAAACAACTCCACAGGAAATGAAAGGAAGTAGAGATATTAAGATAGTATATCTAGTGGCAGAAGAATCAAAATAGTGGCCGACTTAAGCTTACTGTATCAGTAATACCTTAAGTGTTAATCTTCTGAATGCCAAAATTATAAAACATAGCCTTGATGAAGTATCACTGTGCCTAACATGTTTATTTAGGATAATGATTTTTTAAAACTTCGTTGAAACGTTTATCTAATTATTCTTTATCAATTAAAAATTGACAAAAAGTGAATGATCAGAGAAGCTGTGGAGAAGTCACCAGTGACCTCCTAGCTCTTCTGTTCCTTCTTCCAAAAGGAATGAGATCCTCTCTGAGCCATGCCTTACTCCTTCCCCTTTCCTCCAAAACCTCTGTGGTTAATTTTGGTCACCTTCTGATTCAAAACAGATTTTATTATCAATAAAAATATCTTATACCATGATCCCCCATTTGTCTAAATAAAAATGGAAGGTTTTAACTCTGACATAGTAAAACTATATTCAATAAGTACGATAACTGTATACAAGTATATATGGTAAAAATCACATTAACTGTTGTTCAGTCCATTTGCCTTTGGCAAATTCAAAAAAAAACTGTATTATCTATCCTATCTTGGTGAATCCAAAGTGTTGTACCTAATTCATTTTCTATCCTAACTTATATTACCAACCCAGAACTATCTTTTATGTTTCTCAAACTTATACATTTTGAACCTTTTTGTGAGTTTCTTTTCTGCATTTGGTAATAAGAAAAACTATAAATATCTAGTCTTTGACTCCATCAGAGACCTGAGAAGGATATAATATCACCTAAGTAAACAGGAAGTGCAGAGCAAACAACTTCCAAAACTGAAAAATTACAGAAATAGTTGGATGCCTGGAAAGTCGTCCATCTACAAAGTTGGGGCATCCATATTTAGCCTACAGGCCTACAACAACTGACAGACCTTCCTGTGAAGCAGGAATTTTGAAGGACTATCCTACCTTGTCTTAGCAAAGTTATACAGTTGTTTCTTTTGTGTCCTGCTTATCCAACCTGGACAACACATTGTCTACAGTTGAATCAAGGAAAATGTCTTGCCCCATAGCTAACTTTTGCCATAAAGAAAATAAATTCCATATGGAATTTTTTGTGCCTGTCATCTTCTCTGAAGTATATTGGTGCTTCCAGGAGCAGACAAGTCCCATTGTCATTAAAAAATAACCTTATTTTTAAGAACATCTTAAAAGCCATATTCTGTAGATTTCTGAAGTGTTTGAAGATGGCCTGTCTATCTAAAATATAGTTTGACCTTGAAAACATACCTAAAATGACTACAAGTTTGATTGTAATAGGTGACTAACTACTAACCTATAATTCTTTATTATCCTAAATAGTTTGTAATAATAACTTTCAAGGACTAGAAATTTACATCACATTCTTAAATGATCTGCAAAGGAAAATGAAATTGTATATTTAATGAATGAAACCTGTACAATTTGCCCCTGGGAGAAGGTCATTTTCTGTTGGGTGAGTGCAAGTGAAGCTTGCGTGTAGCTTTATTTGAGTCCTCTCTTCGTCCTCTTGTTGGAGCTATTGCCAACTGCGTGTCTAGTTTTGAGTGCAAATAGAATCAGAAAAAAAAAAGAAAAAAAAATAAAATAAAATAAAATAAAATAAAATAAAATAAAATAGAATCAGAAAGCCACACTTCTTTTCCCTCCCTCCCCAGTCTTCCGTTTGTTTCTGTAGCAGCAGTGTACACCAACTCTCCTGTGTATATTGCCTTTTTGCTGGAAAATGTATGTTGAATAAACTTTTCTATAGAAATTATAAAAAAGAAATATATGCACAGTAAGTTTTAACAAAAATAACCTTAAATTTGTATCAATATACAAAAATATCTTAGAAGCATATACAGTATAACAAAAAATACCTCAAATTTGTGTCAATATACAAAAATTCATGCCAATTTAAAATATTTAAGACTAGTAGTTAAACTACTTTGGGCTTAAAAGTAGATTCAATAATCTACCCCTTTATCCTCTCATTTCTGTATCCCCTTTGTTCTTTTCAGAATGAGGTCTCTGAATCTATTCTTTTTTGTTCAGCGTTTTTACTGACCATTTCCAATAACAACTTGAACCCAACGCCCACCCAAATGATAACTAATATCCATAACCCATTGAATGACCAAAAACCACCCACCCCACCTCTTGGGAATGTGGGTGATGTTCTTAAAATTACTTCTTGCTGTCTGGGGTGTCGGCATCTCTAGGGGAACCTGAGAAAATTGAAATAATAATCAAGTCTTGAGAGAGCTAGCTGTATCATTTGTTGTCATTCCCTGTGTAATGGGCAAACGCAGGACTTATCTGAAGTCCTGGCTGGAGTAGTGCATGAGGCTGGACCACCTCAGCTAGCCACCTTGAAATTGTCCTAAGCAGTTTTTGTTACTTCTTGCAGGTAGTATAATTTGGTTATACAAAGAACAAGTAGGACATTTCCTTATAATTTCTTTGGTTTGTTGTCAAGTGATGGAAAAATGCTTTTGTAAACCCTTGCTATTGAAATGGTGTTTCTTATGAAATTCTAAGGTTTCTAGCATATTTCCTACCAATAGCTGATAAATTTCATCATTGCCTTGTGCTAGAGGGCCTGCTAGGCCCATGTGGGATCTGATATGTATTATATATAAGGGACAATTTCTATTTCTGATTATTTCTTGTAATTGAATAAATAACAAAGTTAATTCTGCATCATCTGAAATAAGTTCAACAGTTTCAATATATAAAACAACTCTTTCTGCATATGGAGAGTAAGTAACTATATGAGGAAGTTTTGAAAATCTATTAATACCCTGAGAAGAGCATAAAATTATGACTTTTGAACAGATTCATAAGGACTGTGAACCATTTTGCTTTCATTTCCCCTGACTTTTATCCTGCCTTTCCTCATTTTTTGCATCAATATAGAATGTAGGGGCTTTAGAAATTGGTGTTCCCCGTATAATGTGAAGAAGGATCCGATTAGTTCTCTTTATGAATTGAAGTCTCTTCTTTTGGGATATTTGTTGCTAATATCTCCCAAAATCTTACTCCAAGCTCTTTCCCAATGTTCATTTTCTGTTCATAGTAAGGAAATTTAAGCATTAGTAAAAGGTATCACAATTTCTGCTGGGTCTATACCTACTAATTGATAAAGTCTTAATTTTCCTTTCATAATAATTCAGAAGCTTTTTTACATAGGTTTTAAATTTTTTTACTCTGTTTTGTGGATATATATAATATATTATTATATATTATATATATTATATTATATATATATTATATATATTAATATATATTATTATATATATTCAAAGATATTACCTCTCTGCATTAGAATTCTTGTAGGATAATGCATAGAAGGTAAAATGACCAGAATACAATCAAGCTCTGGATCCAAATGATCCACATATGAATCCTGTAATTTCTTTTCTACCAGAGCCAATTCTCTTTCAGCCTCATCTGATAATTTTCTTCTACTATTTAAGTCCTTATCACCTTGTAATGACTGAAATAAATTACCTAGTTCTTGAGTTGTTAATCCAGTTGTAGGTCATAGCCAGTTAATATCTCCCAGCAATTTTTGAAGATCATTAAAAGTTTATAATTTATCTCTCCTGATTTAAACTTTCTGTGGTTAATTTTTTTGTAATCCTGTCTTAAATCCTAAGTAATTCATAGAATCTCTCTTTGTATTTTTTAAAATACAAAGAACAATTTATAATCCCCAACAAGGCAATTTTTTTTACTTCTTCAAATGTTTTCTCTAAGGTGTCTGCATATGAATCAAATAGTAAGATATCATTCATATGGTAAATTATATATTGAGGAAACTGATTACAAATTATTTCCAATGGCTGCTGTACAAAATATTGACACAAGGTAGGGCTGTTTAACACATTGCTTTTGGACAGACTTTGTATTGATATCCTTTAACAGGCTGTGAATTATTATAAGTGAAATACTTTCTCTATCTGTACTTGCAAAGGTATAGTAAAAAAAAATGCAGTCTTTTAAATCAATCACTATAATAAACCATCCTTTGGGTAACAGAGAAAGCAAGGGAAGTCCAGACTCTAAAGAGCCTATTCACTGAACCACCTTATTAATAGCTCTTAAATCTGTTACTATTCTCCATTTTTCAGATTTCTTTTTAATGGCAAATACAGGAAAATTATGAAGGCTGTTTGGTTTGTTGATATTTTTGAGCCTTTAACTGCTCCTGAACCAGCTGTTCTCGTGCTTTTAATTTTTCTGATGTCAAAAGTCATTATTCCAAGTAGACAGGTTTGTCAATTAACCATTTTAAAGGTAGGGTTATTGCTGCCTCTGAAAGATCAGCAGCTGTTGTGTCCTGTTTATGTATACAGCCTGAGTGATTGGTAACTATTTTTAAACTACTTTTTAATATTTTTCTCAGAAATATATGTTAGCTTATTGTTTGTTTCTGAGATTGGATAATGTTAATCTGGATATTCCATTGCTGTCACAATTCACATCCCCAAAAATTCATTGCTATGTTAGCCACAGATGGCTTTAATTTTCCTCTCTGTCATTCTAGCCCTATACATTTGACCCATCTTACACTTCATTTTACTTGAGATAAAGTTCCAATCCTGAAAGCTTAACATTGATCTCACTAAGAGGCCAATTTGGATGCCAAGACTTTGGTGCAATTGTTGTTACATCTTCCCCTGTGTCTATCAAACCCTCAATTACAATACCATTTATTTGTATTTTTAATTTTGGTCTTTGTTCATTTATAGAAGTTTACCAAAATATTTACTTAATGATTTCTTCTGATATTTCATCTTCTAAAACTGTTCTGTCATCCAGAACAGTATGGTTTTTCATAACAGGTATTAAGTCTTTTAATTGCTCTGTGGAGGAGTTTCCCCAATGCTGACAGGTAATGATTGAACCAAATTTGATATGGGGGCCTGCTAGAGGCCCCCTTTGGAATTTCCCAATGGCAAAGGATTACTTTGTGCCATGTTGATCTGCATTTGTTAGTTCAGCGTTGGTCTTTGCCACACCTTCTGCATATTCCAGAAGGCTAGAGTCTTCTGTTTGGATTCTTTCTAGAAAAAATAAAAACATTGTTCCTAGGAATACCTTGTCTACAATCCCTTTTAAGATGGCCTGGTTTACCACAGCCAGGTTACATCTAACCTTTTGATTTTTCTTAAAATTCTTAGACGTCATTTCTATTATCTAAGTATCATAAGCATGAGATCCATTACCAGCTGTATTTCTAATCCATTTATCTATGGGTGCTGATCTTTCTTTTAAAGGCCAGATCACCCTTTTATATTCTGAGTTATCATTTCCAAAAGCCAAAGATTCAATTATTATTCATATAATTTCTAAATCTGATATTCTATTTACAACTGAAGTCAATCTTTGTTAAAAAACAAAACAAAACACAGTGAGGTCTTCTTTTGGACCTTGTATAATTTTAGTAAATGGCTCAGTCCTTATTTCTGATTATTCAGTTTTATCCCAAGCATTCAGAGCTGCTGTATGGCATAGGGCCAAGGTGTCAACTTTTCCTTTTAGGTCTAGGGCTCCATCTGGTACAGACCCGTGTAGATCCTGTGCATGCTGCCTCAATCTGTGTGTTTATTGTGTGTCCATCATGTTGATTGAAAAGGCGTTTTTGTTTTGTTTTGTTTTGTTTTGGTGTCTTCTATCCCCTATGGCTCCAACACTCTTTCTCCCTCCTCTTCCACAGGGTTTCCTGTGCCCTGAGAGGAAGGATTTGATAGAGATATCTCATTTAGGACTGAGTTCAAAGGTCTCTCATTATTTGCAAAATGTTTGGCTGTGTGTCTCTGCATTTGTTCCTCCCAGAAACAGGAGGAAGCTTCTCTGAATATGACAGAGCAAATCACTGATCTATGAGCAGCGCAGAATGTCATTAGAAGTCATTATAATGCTACTTTTTTTAGAACAATAATGTTTGGTTTTACCTTAGATCCCCCTAGTCTCAGATTATTGTTCACCCAGTGTTAAGTATTGTTTCCATCTCCTGGAGTGAGCCTTAAGTCATGTCAGATATCGGTTGTTACTCCCCCAAGCCTTGTGTCACCATTGCACTAGCATATTTGCAGCCAGGATACCATTGCAAATCAAAGGGCTTTTACATTTTGGTATTTACATTTCTCCTTTGGCAGCTTGCAGAGTATCTTCCTGTACCAAAGATACTATCTTGTAGGGGTGAAGGCACTATGGAGGCACCAGCTGGACTTATGCTGTTCAGTGGGTTGTATAGGTATTGTCTTCGGTCATGGGCCTTGCTGTCAGTTTATAAAGAATAACCTATGATCTTGGAACAGCCTGGGTTGTTTGAGGGTTCTCATGGACCCCTTTAGGCAATAACTCAATTAGATTTAATCCAATCCGGGCACTAGAAGCTTTGTTTGGTGACAAGAGATGTCCAGTTGGGGCCTGTCCTCCCATTATTTGAGGATTTCATTTAGATCACCTTCATGTATGTATATATTTTAGGAAGCTTCCAATGAATTAAATTTTCATATCACCCCTCAAATGGCCCTTAATTTTAGCTGTCTTTCCGCATATTCCCTCCTTCCTCCCGTTACCCCTTTCCACTTGATCTTCCCTTTGCAGTCCCCCACAACCCATAGCTATTCTATTTCCCTTTCCTAATGAGATCTATCTGTAATCTCTACTTCCTTTACTCTATACCTAACTTCTGTTGTTCTGTGGATTTAGTTGCTTATCAATGACTTATTAGCTAACATCTACATAAAAGCAAATACATACCATTTTTGACTTTCTGGATCTGAGTTTCCTCACTCAGGGTGGTAGTTTCTAATTCCTTCCGTTTATCTGCAAATTTCATTTTTAATGGCTGAAAGTAATACTCCATTATGTGAATGTGCCACAATTTCTTAATCCATTCATCTGTTGAGGGACATCTAGGTTGTTTCCAGTGTATAAGCAGAGCAACAATGAACATGGTTGAGCAAGTGTCCTTGTGATATATCCTTTGGGTGTATGCCGAGTGGTGCAGCTGAATCTTGAGGTAAATCTATTCCCAGGTTTCTGAGGAACTGCTGTACCGATTTCCATAGTGTCTGTACAAGCTTGCACTCCCACCAGCAATGGATGAGTGTTCCCCTACTTCACATCCTTGCTAGCATGAGCTGTCACTTATGTTATTGATCTTAGCCATTTTGACAGGTTTAAGATGTAATCATAATCAATTCCCTGAGGGCTATAGATGTTGAGCATTATTTGAAGTGTTTCTGAGCTGTTTTGAGGTTACTCTTTTGAGAATTATATTTAGATTTGTACCCCATTTTTATATTGGGTTGTTTTCTTGATGTCTAGTTTTTTGAGTTCTTTATATATTTTGGATAGTCATTATCAATGGTATGTGTAGTTGGTAAAAATCTTTTCCCATTTTGTAGGCTGCTGCTTTGTCTAAATTGATGTTAGGAAGTAGTGTCTTGCGGTTTTATTGGGTTTTTCATTACTTTCTTCATAACACTGATTTTATGTCTATTAATATTTTGATGAGAATTTATTTCTCTTTTATTTTTAATTCTTCTCTTCTTCACTACATCCTGATCAGTTTCCCCTCCCTTCACTCCTCCCAGTTTTCTTCCACCTCCTCTTTCTCCCAAATCCACACCTCCCCACTCTATTTCTCTTCAGGAAAGAGCAGGTTCAACATAACAAAATCCCATGCTTATGTGCTTAACAACATCCAGTATTTAGCAGTTATCTGTTATCTACATGTTCAGTTATTCTGTCTTGTTTTATAGGTAAGACTGGAAACAGTAAATTTTTGGAAACAATCTTATTAATATTCAACATCGTTAGTACTCTGTTGTAGTATAAAAAGGTAATTGCAGTTTCTTATTTGAAGCTCATGTAGCTGCTTCTGCTGGAAGCCTCCTGTTTTTTGCCAGTTTCTTTCCCTATAACTTCATCTCTGAAAACTATGGAACGTTGGACCTTACTACCAAGGTGACTGCCTGTCTGAGCGCAAATGTTGCATTGGCACTAGGGATTAATATTTTAACCAAGATGGAAATAAAAGGTGAGTATTGGTATTTACTGATTTAATTCTTAGGAAACTGGGTACACAGGAAATAAGAAGGTAAGAAAATGTTATATTTTCTCCAAATTTGTTTACTATATAGGTGGTTATGTAAAATATGAAAAATAGAAAGCTCCCACACCCAGATGTAAAGCTATTGGCAGTTAATAGGCAAAGGGAAAATATCAGTTTTCTTCAGCACTACAGCCCATGATAAGTTGCCCAAGCTTGATGGTGCCCTACACACATGCATGTATGAACAACACTAATTGGATTCAAGGGTTATAAAAGAAAAGGAGACGTAAAATTGAGAAAGGGGTGGGGAGGAAATCAGAATGAGTTAGGGTGGGGGCACAAGGGCTGAATATAACCTAAATGTATGTATTTGTGTATGAAATTATCAATGAACAAAATTTTTAAAAGAAAAATCTAAAGTTCAAATTGTCCCATCTCCTTTTTCTGTGAACTTTTTCTGTGAATTTACACTATCAAATAAATCTTTTAAGAACTTTTATTATTTTTATTCTCTTAAAAAAACCTTAAACTTTTTCCCATTCAAGGATGTACTTTTATTCTTTTTGTAATATTGTTTAGTATTACATCATAAGTTGAATCAACCACTTCTTTTTCCATATATGCTTAGTTGGCTTATGGTTCTTCCTGTTATCCACACAATTTATGTATATGTGGTCATATGTGCATATTAATCTGAAAAAAAATCCTAATTGCAAAAATGCTAACCTATATGAGGCAAGGAGATAATGACTATATTCCAATTACTTTGGAGGCTGAACTGGAACTTGAGTCCAAGAGCTTGAGACCATCCTGTACAACAGACTGTCACAAGAATGTCACAGAATTTTATGACTTGATACTAGTTTTGGGTTTTTGTTGTTGGTTTGGGTTTTGTTTTGTTTTGTTTTGTTTTGTTTGGCATAGAATCTCACCATTTAGCCTTGGCTGGCCTAGAACTTACAATGTAAACCAGGCTGGTCTCAAACTCATAGAAATCTACTTGACTGTGCTTCCATAGTGTTGAGATTAAAGGTGAGAGCCACATTCCAGGCACATATGAGTTGTTAATGTTAATATTGTGTATCTTGCTGTTCTGTAGCCATTCAGGTTACTTTAAATCTGAATTTTAGGATCAATTTCATTAAGTTCTATGAAAACTATTGTCAGGTGTAGTGATATTTCATTTGTATTTTAATAAATAAAGCTTGTCTGAAGATTGGAGAGTGAAACAATCCCACTGGTCAGCCCTCTAGACCAGGCAGTGGTGACACATACCTTTAATCCCAGTAGCCACACTAGTTGCCATAGAAACATAGAAACTGGGCAGTAGTGGTGCAGGCTTTAAATCCCAGCCCTAGAGAGGAATATAAAACATAAGGAGACCTCTCTGATCCACAGTCTCGTTCTGAGCTTCCTGGAGGCAGGATTGCCATTTAGTACTGAGGTAGAGGTAAGAGCCTCTGGCTGGCTGTTTTGCTCTTCTGACCTTGAGGTTGAACCCCAGTTTCTGTCTCTGGGTTTTTACTAATGGCGCTACAATCAGGACTTAGTGAAATTTTTGTTCTATTTGCCAGTTAATGTAAAAATAAGAATACTTAATTTGCTCATCTGTAAATAAAAACTTCCCAATAAGAAGACTATCAGAGCAATGTGCATGTTGTTTATTATAGATACTTCTATGATTCTTATTTTGCAGGAAGTATTAACAACCCACATTATTTCATGTAGGCGTCATATTTCCATTGGTTTATTGTGGAAGAATACAACCTTTTAGTTTCCAAATCACTTGTTTATATCAGGTTTATCAATTTTATATTAGTTATTGTCTCTTTTCTCTCTATTTTGTTTGAGGCAGGAGGACTTTTTAGCCTACAGGAAGTTTTCTGTGGTGTATATTTAGACTCCTGTTTTTTTGTGATTTCTAATTTATTGTTTATTACCTATCAAAATGGATTAAGTTTTGATAATCATTTTGATTCCACAGAATATTTTTCTCATATTACCATCCTTTCTTTAAAAAAATAAATACAGTGTTCATGGAAGTTTTGATGGGGGGAAAGGGCAGAGTTAAAGAACAGATTAACTTAATGAGGTGTTAGTCTTTTTAACTCTTGCCTTTTGAAGCAGGGTTCTTTGCAAACCTAATTCCTTTCCTGTTATAGAGGCAGGAAAGAAAAAGCATTTTTTCCCTTTTGGTAACTTCCTTTTGGCCCTTCCATTTATGCTAAGCTAAACTCCTTGTTTTTGTCTCACGATTGGAAGGCACTCCATCTTCAGTGCTGTTGAATATTTTTTACACGTCTGTACATTCTTGTTCTTGTTTCTGTGGGAAATTAGCTTGAGGGGAAAGTAACAAGATAGATTCTCTTAAATCTACTTTTCGTTTGCTGTTCTTTTTCTTTGCTTCTTTCAGTGATTCATTTCATTTTAATTGTTCCTAATTGTTCTTAAAAGTTTTGAAGAAAAAAAAGCAGGGGGAAATGTATCCATTATTTTCTGTACTAACACAACTGCTAAGAGTTATCAACAGATAGGTAATCCATAGTATGAAATACCAAGTCACAAAGATTTCATCCATGCCCAATGTCTCCTTTGCATTTCAGAGATTGGTGTTAAATGGCATAACCTTTGGACACCAACCAGTCTTGGGGATAACCTCCTCTTTGGCTATATGTTTGGAATGCTTTTGCTTGATGCTTTCTTATACAGCCTTGTTACCTGGTATGTAGAAACTGTCTTTCCTGGGCAGTATGGTGTGCCTCAACCATGGTACTTTTTCCTTATGGTAAGTTTTTTTCTGTTTTCTTTTTACTGAAAATAATTATTTTCATACAATGTAGTCTGATTATGGTTTCCCCTCCTTCAATTCTCTGAGATCCTCCTACCTCCCTTATTGGTAAGTTTTAATGCTGCTGTTAAATCCTTACAAGGTCATGGTCCTTGTAAACCTATTTCATAAATGGTATAATCAAATTAAAAAGTAAAATTCACATCAACCTAATCTATACACCACTAGTATTGACACATTATTCATTCCTCTGTATATAGTTGCATAACATGTGTGGACAAACACAGAAACATTTCCAACTGTAAACACAATGACCTCTCGGTAATCAGACAGTATAATCCCTTAGATTAGAGGGTAGGGAAACAAAGGAAACCCACACCAAATTACTATGCGATGTTTTTCAGGTTCTAGGAAAGAGAGAACTAAATAATTCTTGTATCTTAGTTTCACCACTTGGTCCCTTTCATGGGGCTGACCATTATTTGTGCAGCGTAGAAAAGTGCTTACTTCTTTTCCTTCAGACTTTTTTATAATGACTGGGTGACCCACAGTGAAGATACTCTGGCCAAGTGTGATGAGCTATGGCTCCACGTTCACTTTCCAAAAATTCACTTCTGTCTTTCTACCTTGGAAACTACTCTCTAACAGTTTTTTCATGAATACTGGAGATTAAAATTGTAGATAATTTGACTAAAAAATATCATGTTTTATGACTAGAAAATACATTGCAGTTTTGTTCTTCATGTAGAATATATAGAGTCAAACTGTTTCCTAGTTCTTAGAAGTCTTCACTTTTTTAGTGAAATACATATGACATAAAATTATCGATTTTTAAATAAAGTCTCTAATACTTGGTATATTTACAATGTACAGTCACAATATGCAACCATGACCTCTCTACTCATAGTTTTTCATCCCCAAGAACTAAAACCATGACCTATAAAGAAGTAATCTCCATTTTTCATATTTAAGGCATCTCTAATTTGCTTAACTTTTCTATGAATTTATATATTCAGAATGTTTTATAAAAATTCAATCACAATTATTTGTGGGTGCTCAAGTGGTTTTTTAGGTTTATCCATGGTATAGTATGAACTGACATGTACTATTCTTGTTGTACGACTGTATAATATTCCATATCTCACTGGAGGACATATAGTTTTTATTTCTTATCTACGGTGAATAGGACTATTTTTAATTATTTTGAGTATGTAGCTAGTGATGTAACTACTAGTTCTTATGGCACTTCTATGTTTAAGGTTTTGGAAACTATCCGAGCATATATTTCTGTTGCACACACACATGCACACACACATGCACACACACTCGACACTCATAAAGTACTAAGGTTCTATTCCTTCACTTCTACTTCTTTTTATAGTAGTTATCCTCATAGGTTTATGTGACACTTAATTGAATTTTCTGATAACTAATCATAAGTATGATATTTATGTGCCTATTGGCCTTTGTATATCCTGTTTGGAGACATAAATTCAGGTTCTGTGCCCATTCGGTAACTGTTGTTTTTTTTTTATGTATCTGATACCCTAAACCCTTCTTTCATATATAATTTGCAAATATTCTCTCCTATTCTATAATTTGTCCTTTTACTCATTATATTCTTTAACACTCAAAAGTTCTTAGTTTTGATGAACTTATTTTTATCTAATTGTTTATATATTTCATATCATTTTTAGGAACCATTGTAAAATACAATATCGTAGAGATTTGTCTTTTTACTTTCTCCTAAGAGTTGAGAGGTTTTTTGCTTTTGTACTTGGATCATTGATTACTTTGAATCAGTTCTGTATGTAGCATGAAGTAGTAGTCTACCCTCTTGCATCTGCACAGATACTCTCATATTCCAGTACCATGCTTTGAAGAAATTACTTACTGCCTATTGAATATGGCCTTGGCACTGTAGATGAAAACAACAAAAAAAATAAATGTATGGGTTTTTTAAAATTGATTCTCAGTCTCAATCCTGTATGTCCTTGATTCAGTATGATATCATTTTGTTATTATAATAATGTTATAAATGTTAAAATCTGCAAGTGTGAGTCATCCACCTTTGTTACTGTTTTCAAAATTGTTTAGGACTAACAAAGCACTGTGTGATTCAGCGTGATCTTGAGGTTCAGCTTTTCTGCAAAAATGGACATTGCAATTGGGATTGGACTGTAGTGGCAGTTAAGATACTGTTGCTATCTTTAAAAGATTATGTTACAATTTATGTGTCTTATGTTTTATTTTGATAGTCTTCAGGTTCTTTCAATAGAGCTTGAAGATTTTCACTGTGGTAGTCTCTTATTTCTTTACCTAACCTATTTATCCTTCAGATTTTATTGGTTTTGAATGCTGCCAAGAATGAAATTGTCAAATTTGGTTTTGGATTTTTTACACTACCATATATATATATATATATATATATATATATATATATATATATATATATATATACACACACACACACACACACACACATACATATACAATTGTTATATGTTGATCTTGCCCATTGTGTCTTTCTGTTTGCTAGTTCTGGTTGTTTGTAGGTATATGGATGTGTGGGATTGCGCCTTCTTTAAATATAGTTTCACCTCTTCTGTTCCCATTAGTTGTGGTTTTATTTAGTAGCTCACTGCTTTAGCTACCCCTTGTCATACAAAGGTGATGAGTGTTAAAGGTGAAAGCAGACATCTTCTGTGTCTTGTTGATGCTTTAAGAGACAGTTTTCAATCTTTCATCATTGAGTATTGTTATTTGTAAGTTTGGGGGAGTTTCATAAAAACACTTTTCTGTTTCTAGATTCCTAAGTATTTTTATCATGCACAAACTAAAATGATCCTATGATATAATTTTCTTTTATCCTATTAATGTGATACTGCATTGATTGATTATAGTATCTGGAACCATCTCTGAAATACATTTCACTTTGTAATGACATATGATCATGTTAATATACTAGGAGATTCAGTTTGTTGACATTGTATTGAAGATTTTTGCATCCATATTATAAGATCTATAGTTTTCTTCTTTTTCTTTGTCTGGTTTTGGCATCCAGATGATATGGATTTCTCAATGAATTAGGAGGTATTCCCTTATGTTTTTGGGAGAGTTGAATAAAAACTGATAATTTTTGTTTAAATGTTTGAGAAAATTTCCTAATGAAGCTATCTTGTATAGGCTTTGTAGGAATGTTACTGGTCACTGATTCACTTTGTTATGGGTGTATTCAGAGTTCAGTTTCTTTTTTTTTCTACTTAAGATTTTTTTTATTGTATATGTTTTAACCATGTTTTCTTTCTCTCCAAACTCCTCCCAAGCCCTCCCTGTCTCCCTGCCTACCCATCCAACTTTATGTTTTCTCCCCCTTTCACAAAACAGTTTTTGTTGTTGTTAATTACATTTTGTTTGTTCATTAATAAAATTGTGTAATACAAGCTCTTTACCCCATCCACGTGTGCAGTAAAAGATAAACAATAAACCCTGACTAGCACAGACTTATTTGTTTGGCCTGATTTAAACCTTTAGAAACGCAAATTGAAACAAAAGTTTTTAATGCTCATTTTGGTAATGATCTTTTATCTTTTTCTGTAGCGCTCATACTGGTTTGGCAAACCAAAAATTAGAAAGTCTGCAGAAGAGACGAAGTGCTTACCCATAAAACATGACTGTTTTGAGGCTGAACCTACCAACTTGGTGGCAGGTATACAGATCAAATGTTTGCACAAGGTATTGTTTCAAATACTTCTGCAGGAACAAAAAAAAAACCGCTTATGTCCATTGAGATTGTTTATCTTTGGCTACTCCGGAAAAAGAAATGCTTTAATTGATTTATTTGCCTCATAGTAAATATAATTGTCCCCTAAGAACCAGAGCTTGGTTGGAGCTGTGTTTAATAAATCATATAAGTATAGATATATGTTTACAAATGTTTAGTTATTTGCTCCATCTTTATGCTTTACTTTCATTCTTAAATCTGAAACAATATATTTCATCTTCATTTTCTAAGTGTTTTCACTGAATATCAAATTTTATATTAAAGATGTTGCCATACTATTGTTCTGAAATTTATTTTTCCAGATTTAATGGGTTATAATTAGCACATAAAAATTTCATGTATTTTAGGTATACAGTATGATTGATGTGCATGTGTACTGTGGAATTATTTACCACAGTCAGATTTTTAACATCCATTACCATCCATAGGTTTTGATAGTTCATATTAATGAGAAAATTTTAAATTTGCTTTCATCATATTTCAGATAAACAATGCTATATTATGAACTATTATTGTATGTTGTAATTAGGCCCCAAGGTTTATTTATGTACAGCTGAAAGTTGATGCCTTTTAACCAATATCTCTGTTTCCCTCAGTACTTGATAACCACTGATCCACTCTCTCCGGATGTGGCATTTTTAGATTTTTTTTCATGAAGTGGAAATGATAGGTTTTTTCCTGTCTCTCTGGCGTATATCCACTAAAATATTCTCTGGGATTTGTTCATGTGTTACAGATACCAGAATTTCCTTTTTTGTGATCAAATAATATTCCAGCTGTGTCTCACATCTTTATCCATTTATTTATTGATTAACAGGTTTTTTACTTGTCTTGGGCATGCTTCACCAAACATGGAAGTGATTGTTCCTAATCTCAGGAAGGAGATAATCTTAGCATTGTGTCTTTAAGTGTGAGGTTTACTATAGACTTGGATTATTGGATTAAATAACTCGTTTTCTATTATTCTTTTGTTACAAATTTAAAAGTAAAAGCTAAATTATAAATGCTTTTTCTACATTTTATATGTTATGAGAGGGTCTTTCTTTTTCTGTTTTTCTTTTTTTGAGACAGAGTTTCTCTGTAGCTTTGGAGCCTATCTTAGAACAAGCACTTGTAGACCTGACTGGCTCAAACTCACAGAGATCCACCTGCCTTTGGGCCCCCCCCCCCCGTGCTTGGATTAAAGGTGTGCACCACCACTGCCCAGCTGTTTTGTTTTTAACTCTGGTTTTCTCTTGTATGTGTTTGTGCATTGGAGTGTGCACGTGCACATGTGTATGGCTACATTGCTCATTGAGTCCTGTTTCTCCGGCAGAGCTAGAACTCACAAACATGTCTACTCTTGAGAGTCATCTTGCTCCATGGAGCCTGTTTTGCTTTCTCAGGCTGGAATTACAGACAGACCGCCATGGCCCCAGCCGTTTACATGAACTCGGGATCAAACACCTTTCCTTTTGCTTATGCAGGAAGCACTTTAACCACTGAGCTCTTTCCTTGGCCTTCTGGGTTTTTTATATGTGTGTGTGTGTTTTGATTTTTGAGTGAGGTGTTGTTATATAGTTGGGTTAGCATTGAATTCATATTTCTGCCTCTGTCTCCTAAATACTGAGATTATTGGTGTTGTATCTTTTCATAAGCATTGTCTCCAGTGAAAAATTCTCTTTCAGTTCCTATTTTGCTGCCTATAATGTTCTTTTATTTTCTGGCACCTTATAAGAAATTTGTCACTAGTTTTGTACAATTTGGTGATTTTTATTAAAAATGGTTTTCCCTTGGATCTCTTTCTGGCTTTACTATCTCAAGAAAATCTGTACTTCACAGAAGGGAGGGTACTAGGTGTTTTTGTTTGTTTATTTGTTTTGGTTTTTTCAAGACAGGGTTTCTCTGCAGCTTTGGAGCCTGTCCTAGAACTAGCTTTTGTAGACCAGGCTGGCCTCAAACTCATAGAGATCCACCTGCCTCTGCCTCCCGAGTGCTGGGATTAAAGGCTTGTACCACACTGCCTGGCATACTAGATGTTTTTTGTTTCTGTTAAAAATTATTATTAAATATTATTATTTTGCTTTTGAAGCAATTTAATTTCTTAGCAATAGTTTGATTATTTCATATCTGTTTTGTTTAATCAATAGTTGTTTATTCCTCATGATTGAAACACAAACCTTTTTTATAGCCTTTCCAATGCCTGAAAGTTTATTATGTCACAGTCCTTGAACTGTGTAAGATTTGAAAATATCATGGAAGTGATTTTGCCTTTGGTTTCTGGAATTCCTTTTCTTTGATCCCTGATAAAACTTTTGTTTCATATGTAATACTGAAGTATTCCATGTGAGAAAATTCTAAATCACTATACTTTATTAAGCTAATTAAGAGTACGGTAAGTCTTCTAGCCAGCTGACCAAGAGCAGGCTCATGCTGGGGAAGTTTCTTGGTCCCACAAAGGAGTATGGGGATTTGTGGATGTAAGTTTCTGTCCCACCTCTCCCGCAGCTGCTCAGTTCCAAAAAAACACACAGAGGCTTATATTAAATGTAGACTGTTTGGCCTATTAGCTCAGGTTTATTATTAACTAGCTCTTTTTAAAATAATTTATTATGATTTATTTAACTTTATTTTATATGCATTGGTGTGAAGTTGTCAGATCCCCTGGAACAGGAGTTACAGACAGTTGTGAGCTGCCGTGTGGGTGCTGGGCATTGAACCTGGGTCCTCTGGAAGAGCAGTCAGTGCTCTTAACCGCTGAGCCATCTCTCCAGCCCCTTAACTAGCTCTTACAACTTAAATTAACCCATAATTCTTGTCCTGTGTTTAGCCACATGGCTTGTTACCTTTTATCAGTGAGGCATTCTCATCTTGCTTCCTCTGTGTCTGACTGATAACTCACATTCTGCCTTTCCTCTTCCCAGAATTCTCTTAGTCTAGTTGCCCTGCCTGTACTTCCTGCCTTGCTACTGGTCAATCAGCGTTTTATTAAACCAATATGAGGGACTAAATTTTACAATATACAAAAGCATTATCCCACAGCATTTCCCTCTTTTTGCTTTTTAAACAAGACCATGAATCTAATCTCCTTTATCTTTTTTCCTGACCATTATCCATAACAACTTGTAGCCAACACACTAAACAAAGACAAACATCCATAATCCATTTTTTGGGAATATGGGCATAGTTTTCTAAACTACTTCCTGCTGATTAGGGGCACTGATAATCTTATAGAGACCCAAAGAAAATTTAGGATTATGATCAAGTTCTGACTAGAGTATTCTCTGAGGCGGAATCATCTCAGCCAGCAGTCTTGAAGCTGTTCTGGATGTAGAACTCAGAGGAAACTGCAATAGAGGTGCTCTGAAATGTTGGATCATCTGGACTATCTGTTTACATTGGAGATTTTTTTCAGGGGGGGGTCTTTCTCCATCAATCCTTATTTTTCCTAACCCAGAATGAATCTGCAGACTTTCATTTCCTGTGAAAACAAAAGCAAAACCATTTTTCCAAAGTGACATTTTTTTAACTTAAATTTTGAATTCAAGACATTTCCTAAATATATAGGTTGGATTAATCCAGCTACATTTATAATCAAATATCTTTTAACAGCTGTTGCTCCTTTCTCAGCAGTCAAACAATTCATAGGCAATACAATAACACACAGTATTCAGATTCTCTGTGTATTTATCACCTTTACATGGCTTTTGTTTCCTTACTGTATTTCTTTTATTTTTATTTTTAATTTCTGGTTTTTTGAGACTTGGTTTCTCTGTATATTTTTGGCTGTTGTGGAACTCACTCTGTAGACCAGGCTGGCCTTGAACTCACAGAGATCCGCCTGCCTCTGCCGCCCAAGTACTGGGATTAAAGGCATGCGCTACCACTCCCAGCTACTCTATTTCTTTTTTAAAGGACTTTTCCTATCCTTTTTCTTTTCTCTTCTAAGCCTATGTATATTTTTTAACACACTATAAACCGTTTAGAGTTTACTGTCTTTACTGTACATATCTATCTTTTACTAAGCATATGAGTCTTTAATCTGCTAGTCAGCATTGCTAGGATTAATAAGCAGCATGGCAAGAATTAAAGTTGTGGCATTGGCAGCTGGCTCTGCCCCATTCCTTAGCTTCCAGAGAGTCTAGCTTCATGGTGGAGATACTGGCACGAACCGGGTTTATTGCTACAACTCTGTGGAGTTTCTAGGTCCATACCACCATCAAGAAGCATGTCACTGACTGCTCATAAATACCATCTATGTTTGCTGGCAGAGCCTCCTAAAAGAGCTGCAAGGATTTTGCTGCTAATGCTGGGTCAGGAAGCTTCTCTTAAAGGCGCTGTTCCTCTGCTTGCCACCAGCAAACAGAGTCTACCAGAAAATGGACAGTTGCCAAGAAGCTACACTTGTCTCTGTTCTTGTCTGTCTAGAATCCTTTTTTTTTTTTTTAAACTTTCTCAGACTTTATATGGAAATTCTTGCCAAACATTTGGTCATCATTTATGGATCTAAGTTTCTGTTCTGCCTGATCCAACAGCCATTCAGTCCCAAAGAAACACACAAAGGCCTATATTAATTATAAACTGTTTGTCCTTTTAACTCAGGATTATAATTAACTAGCTCTTACAACTTAAATTAACCCATGAAATAAAAATAATAATAATAAAATAACCCATGATTCTTGGTTTTGTTTAGCCATGTGGCTTGGTACCTTTTATCAGTGAGGCATTCTCATCTTGCTTCCTCTGCATCTGGCTTTCCTGCATCACACTCTGCCTTTCCTCTTCCCAGAATTCTCTTAGTCTAGTTGCCCCAAGTATACTTCCTACCTGTCTGCTGGTCAATTATTGTTTTATTAAACTACTCTGAAGGACTAACCTTTACAGTTTACAAATGCATTATCCCACAGCAGGGGTTTTAAAATCTGGAGGCTACAGTTACTTCATACCTGATGCATGCTTGTAAGCTTTGATCTGATAAAGTATCACACAAGGCCATTCCTCTAAAGGAACCAAATTTTTTTTTAACCTCTCAGGACTCTTTCTCAGAAGGGAGGAGAATCCTATTGGTCTTGTGAAAAACTTTTTCAAGGGGAGGAGGTCAGGAGTTATGGCAACCTGGTCTATCTTAAGATATTTCATCATTATCACATCTCTTTATTTTCCTCATAATGTTGATCATATCTGTAATTATTTTGTTTGCCTGAATCTTTTGTCTCATCATGTTTTGTGAAGGCTTCAGTAAAGTATGATTTATATGTGACTTATGTTAAGGTGTGAGATTATATTTAAGTTTCCCTTTTGGTTTGCATATTGAAGTGTATGGGGACAGTCACTGAGTTAGAAGGAAGAGTTGAATATATTTTCAAAGGATGATGTTGATTTTTAAATTTACTGAAATATATATTAATATTTTAATGCCAGTTGTGAGAAACAGAGAAAATATTTTTCTGGTAACTATTTAGAGATACAAAGTTATGCCCAACCTAGAGGAAAATAGTGACTATATAAACTGATGACAGAACTTCTCCATGGAGTAGATAATAGAGAGAGAACAGCCAGAGACATTGGGTGAGAAAAAGTAGAGTGAATGTGGCTAGCAGTCTGAACCTTGAGAGAAGCAGGGACAGGCAGCGCATGGGAGCAAGAGAAATAGCAGGGTTATATGGAGGAGTGGTGGCTGGAGGGAGTTAAGGGGGGTGGGTGTGAAAAGGCCAAGGGGATAGCAGACTCTTTGGTATGCAAATAAGCTCCACAGAGAGCTTTGTCCCATCTGTAGAGGGGGAACCTGGCTCACAAATTAGTGAGGAATGCTGGCTTTTTTTTTTTTTTTTCCTAACCGCCAGAAATCCTCCTCTGTTTCTGGATATCTGGAATGCCTTTTAGAGTGTGTGGGATCTTTTGGATCTGACAACAGCATCGTCTGTGATTGATAGCATGAGTTTGATGATATAACTATACAGAGGGTATGAATGTTTGTCTTTTCAAATGACAGATAGCAGATTACTCGTTTGTCCCACAGGAATTTAGAAACAAACCTGCAGTAAACAACCTGTCGCTGAACGTGTATGAGGGGCAGGTCACTGTTCTTCTGGGACACAATGGGGCAGGAAAGTCCACAACCTTGTCTGTTCTCACAGGTGTGTATTCATCTCCATTCCGGGCAAAGTTACCTTCCTAAGACTGAAAAACAAGGAGTTTTACTCTTGAGGCCTGGCCACTAATCTCTCCAGACATGACAAAATAGTCATGCTTTTTGGAGCAAAATACTCTTCAAAGAAATTGAGAATTTCATTAAGAATTGCTACTCTGTAAAAACAAAAGAATGAAAAAGGTTGTACCAATCCTGGGGAAGAGAAAATGTGCTGTGTTCCTGTCAACCGTTCCTCGAGATAGTTTAGCTCACAGCCTAGAGGTTTTTTTCATTAGAAGCTTTCTCCCTTAGAGAGGAGAGAGGAAAGAATACACCTTCTACTATGTCTCATGGACTTGAGTTTGCTTTCCAAGGGCCAGAATTCTATTTCATCTCTGCACAGGTGCTGAGAGAGATAGAGTGTGGGCAGCTGAACAGCAGGGAACACAAGATACAGGGCAGGTGTTTTCCCATAGCTTTCACTCTTCTGACATAACAAGAAAGGCTGGAAAACCAAGTAGAGGAGAGTCTTATTCCAGAGTTCCAGTTGAAGGACTGATTTCTAGATCACCTGTGCTGAGTGCTAACAGAACAATAAAACCCAGAAACTAGGACATCCAAGAGCAAGAGAGGGGTGGGGAGGGGCGTGTAGAAGCAGGCATCTTCCTACAGTTGCAACTGCTTTGCAAGTTGAGAAATAAATGCACAGGACCAGTGCTTTTCCTCCATTGGAGACAGAGAAAATAGAGCAAGACTTAAGTCTAAGTCTTTCTGAATTCACCAAAGAATTGACGCCTCTTCCACTTTGTGTTAGACAATGACTTTTGTACAGTATATTTCCTACCATTAACAATATTTTATAAACCACTCCAAACATGTTAAAATGTTCAGTATCATATTAGGTGTTATTCCCTAAAAGCAGATATTGGAGGTATGGATATGATGTGTTTAGCATACTAAATTATACTATATGCATATTTTAAACCCTTCAATATGCATACTTTGAGTGCATGTTATTCTTTATCAAATACACATCAATAAAACTAAAAACTGAAATTATAATATGATCCTTTTCTGGATACATGTCCAGGAATATTGAGAAGAGAATCTTAAGACCTCCTTTCACACTCAAGTTTCTAGCAGTATTTGCCCTAAGTTACAGATGTTTGTCAACAGAGAACTGGTAAGAAAAGTGTAGTGTATTCACATTCATACAATAAAATGCTCAGGCCTAAACCAGAGAGAAATCCTGTTTCATGCTATAACATGGATAAAATTTGGTATTGCTAAGTAAACCAATTATAAAGAGAAAAATCTAGAATGGATTCTACTTATTGAAAGGCCCAGATAAATTCAGACTCCTCTAGCAGAAAGAATAGAGCCAAAAATCTAGCAGGAAGAGAAGAACCAAAAATCTAGGTTAGCCGGTTCAGTGACTCTGTTCCAGGAACTAGCTGACTATAAAGTTAGATTATAATCTCGAAAATAATCTTGAGAAACGGGGAGTTACCCCCTTGTGATTATCACTGGAATTTTTGGAATTTTCCAATGATGCCTTCCCTACCCCCTTTGGGTTGTGGTTTCTTCCCCTAAATATTCCCTCTCCCAGCCACTCGGGGTCGAACTCCTCTACCCCTGCATGGGAAATGAGTTTCGGCCCCAGCGAGCTGGTTCCTATCCTGTCAATAAACCTCGTGTGATTGCAGCAAGGACAGTCTCTCGTGAGTTCCTGGGTGGTCGTGTTATCCTGAGACTTGAGTGAGAGTCTCCCCATTCTGGGGGTCTTTCATTATGAAAGGTATTTAAAGTTGCTAACATCATAGAAACAGGTAGAAGGATCATGATTGACAGAGACTGATTTTTTTTTATCACAAACAATGGAATATAGCAGGTAGCACAATGAAGTATTTAAAGAAGGGGAGGGAAGAGATTTTTTTATTATTAATTAAAAATTTCCACCTCTTCCCCGCCTCCCTTTTCCTTCCCCCTCCCACCTCCCCCTCCCCACCTCCTCCTCTTTACCTCCCCCTCCCTCTCTAGTCTTAAGAGCAGTCAGGGTTCCCTGCCCCGTGGGAAGTCCAAGGTCCTCCCCCATCCATACAGGTCTTTAAAGGTGAACATCCAAACAAACCAGGCTCCCACAAAGTTAGTCCATGCAGTAGAATTAAATCCCAATGCCATTGGCTTCTCAGTCAGCCTTCATTGCCAGCCACGTTCAGAGTGTCCATTTTGATCACATGCTCCATCGCTCCCAGTCCAGCTGGCTTTGGTGAGCTCCCATTAGATCAGTCCCACCGTCTCAGTGGGTGGATGCACCCCTTGTGATCCTGACTTCCTTGCTCATGTTCTCCCTCCTTCTGCTCCTCATTTGGACCTAGGGAGCTAAGTCCAGTGCTCCAATGTGGGTCTCTGTCTCTATCTCCATCCATCGCCAGATGAAGGTTCTATGGTGATATGCAAAATATTCATCAGTATGGTTATGGGATGAGGCCAATTCATACACCCTCTCCTCTACTGCCCGGGGAACAATCTGGGGGTCTCTCCTTGGACCTGGGACCCCTTCTAGAATCAAGTCTCTTACAAACCCTAAAATGGCTCCCTTAGTTGAGATATTTACTTCCCTGTTCCCATATCCATCCTTCCTCCATCCCACCCATCCCATTCCCCCAAACTATCCCGAATCCTCCCCTTCTCCCTTCTCTCTACCCAACTCCCCTTACATCTACCCCCCAACCCCCCACTCTCCAACCTCCCTCCATGCACCCAAGTTTGCCTGGCAATCTTGTCTACTTCCAGTATCCAGGAGGATAACTATATGATTTTCTTCAGGTTCACTTTCTTATTTAGCTTCTCTAGGATCACGAATTATAGGCTCAAAGACCTTTAATTATGACTAGAATCCACTTATGAGTGAGCACATACTATATTCCTCTTTTTGGGTCTGGGTTACCTCACTCAGTAAAGCGTTTTCTATTTCCATCCATTTGCATGCAAAATTCAAGATGTCATTGTTTTTTACCGCTGAGTAAAACTCTAATGTGTATATGTTCCACACCTTCTTTAACCATTCTTCTATTGAGGGGCACCTAGGTTGTTTCCAGGTTCTGGCTATTACAAATAGTGCTGCTATGAACATAGTTGAACAAATGCTTTTGTAGTATGATAGGGCATCTCTTGGGTATATTCCCAAGAGTGGAATTGCTAGGTCCTGAGGTACGTTGACGAGGGAAGAGATTTTTTAACCAAAAGTTTATACCTAACAAGATTATTCTTCAAAAGTTAAAAAAAGAAAGAAAGGAAGAAAGAAAGAAAATTAGACATAAGCATAAAATAGAGACTGAAGGAGTTTATTACTATAGCATTTAGTAGTAGTACAGAAAGTGCCAGGACTCCTTCATGTAATCATGAAAGTAAACTAGAGAGTCACTTAAATCTCCAATGGAAAAGATGCTCAGTTAAAACTGAAGACTCCAGGAATAAGAAAATAAAAATATAGATTCCAAAAATAAGAATGTAGAAATAAAGAAATATAAAGTTATAAGTCTAGGAGAATGAGAACAGACTGTCAGCAGCTTTCTCAGCAGATCAAGGATCATTCATTCACAGTGAGCTATTTTCTCAGATGCTTGGGAAGCGTAGGTCATTTTACAACTGGCTGTTTTATTTACAAGGCCAGAGTGTCTCTCTACAAATTGAGAGTAGTGTCCTGGCCATCCCTGATAAACAACAGATGTGAACTGAGTTAACCTTTAGGAGACAGAGATATGTGACCTCTGGGTTAGATACTGTCTCCGTTATGGAAAACTGACGCCCCCAGAGGAGAGGCATAAGACCCCAGTTTACACCTGGAGGTACCAGGAGACAGTGGACAAATACAAGGGTTTAATTGATGAGCTCTGATAATGGAGGTTGTAAAGTATGGCAGTCAGTATCTTGAGTTTTACCTTGAGATAATGTAAAAAGCTTTCTACTATCTCCAAAGTTCTCAGCCTAAGAACCAGTTAATTCTGATTTATTAACCTTCTAGTATTACAAACAACCCCTTTTCTGACTAATTGCTAAAGATATCTGTTTTCTCGCAATTAGTGACTTTCACTGTAATCTCCCCAGAAACATATTTCATGATAGCTGCCTAATTACCCATTGACATTAGCACTCACTCCCCTCTTTAGGGTTTCCGCTGACCAACCCAAGAGTCAGGGCAAGATTGTAAAACTTCTTTTGTTCAGAGATAATGCCTGGTGCCCATACTATAAAAAGTGGGTTCAGAAACCGGCCTTTTGCCACAGCCTAACAAACACCATCTCTGGCTGTGGTCTCAGCTAGCTGATAAGCTTCTGTGCCCCACGGTGTTTTACTTTTATTTTTTATTTTTAAGTTTGCTTCCGGTTTTCCTAGGATCTGGTTTCTGGAATTAAGTTTGCTTCTGGTTTATTAGACTTGGTGGTGTTCTCATCTTTGCGCAACCACCCTGGACCCAACAAAAACAACTGTATGTACAGATAAGATAACATGTATGATTATAGCTTTGGTTTGTTATATTATTAGAAAGACAAAGGCACAAAAATTGTTACTCTGCTATTGGGGCACATATGATAAAAATGCAATTTGTGATGGCAACATAAAGGAAAGGGGTATAGATCTATAAGAAAAATTTTAGGTTAACTTTTATCCTTGTTTGTTCTTTATTCTGTGGAAAATACCATGATGAGAATAAGTTATGGGAGGGGTGTTTGTTTGGCTCACAGTTCCAGGAGGATACTGTCCATCATGTTGAGGAAGACATGGATGGCACCAGACAGGGAAGGCGTGGTGCAGAAGCAGGAGGCTGGCAGGCCACTTTGCATCTCTACTCAGGAAGCAGATAGTAAACAGGAAGTGAGGCCAGTCTATAAAACATCAAGGCCTACTCCCAGTGACTTCCTCCCTTTATCAGGACGCTCCTCCTAAAAGTCCATAACCTCCTAAACAGCAACACCATCCCATGGAGGGTAGTTCACAGTTAAACCACTGCACTGTCAAAGTTAAGGTGGCATCAGTACAACCAAATTAAAATTAATGTAAATGCTAATTTTTACCATAACTGTAAAAGTTAAATGAAAAAAATCACTAGGAAGTCACCTAAACAAAAATTGAGGCAATAATGAGGGAAATGAGGTACAAACACAAAACATAGAGCAAAATGACAACCCTACCTCCTCCTTATAAGTAATTCCATAATATTTAATTATTTTGGGGAACATGGCTTCTTTTACTATTGCCAATCTCTATGTTCCCTATAAATAATATGATGATATTCATAAATGACACTTTTTAGTTCCCCCTTGATGAGCATGGTAGCCAGACTGCCCTCTCTGTTCTCACTAGCCTCCGGGTAACTAAGGTCAGTCAGAAGTCAGTCTCCTGGGTGGGTAGATGTATCAATAAGCTTAGATACAGTTTTCAGCTGCTGTATCCAAAGGTAGGGAAGGCTGTGGTGGCCCACAGGCTGCCCTCTTCTGCCCTAGATGTCAACTTGCCAATCTGCATTTCAATACTTTTGAAAGGGGGCTTCTACGGGCCTGCTTCCACTTAGGGAAAGAACCTAGCAAGAGTAAAATATGTTTTGGGAGTATGTATTTTTAAAAAGATAAGCAAGTCACAGTGTAACAGCTTTATAGTTGGTTATTCACATATGATAGATAATATGTGAATAAATACCATAGAATTAATTACCAACAGCAGAACATAAATATGATGTATTTAAAATATTTAAATTTCTTGAGGATAATCATCCTATTTTCCCAGTATTTGCTTTTCATAGCATCTACCCAGTATCTAGTATAAGCCCCTCATGGAGCAAGTAGCTAGACCTCACCCTAGACTGCTCTCAGGACAAGGCGTAGCCCCTCAAGGCATAGGAGTTCCAAGGCTCCAACCCAGCCCCTAGACTACTCCAATGACCATAACAGCCATTTCCAGACTCTCAGGTCACAGCTACTCCAGCTCTACCCAGAAGAAACAAAGTCCAAGATCAGGTCACAAAAGCCAGCCAGTCCTTGAGCTTTTCCCAAGATCAGGCCACAGAATTCCACCAATCCTCTAGCTTGCCCCAAGATCAGGCCACAAAGCCCCACCAATCCTAGGCTACTCTGGAAAGCTCTGCCCACAAAGAAACCGTATGTAAAGCCTGCCTCCTCCTGCTCAGTTCTTTGCTACTTCCTCCCCCTTGTGTGAGATTTGTTGTGTGGTGTGATTTTGTGGTATTCCTTGGTTCCTGGCCCCCAGAGCTACAACACTTCCACTGGTGGAAACCTTTTCCTTCTGTGAAACTGTAGACCTTACACTGGGGAAGCCTTTCCCCTCAGAGCTCTAATGCTTGTACCTAGTATTATACAAATGCAGTAACTATCTGATTACAATGATATAAAGCAACTAATCTGAATGTTTTCATAATAAACACCGCTAAATCTATACCTATTATAAAAAGCATGTAAACAAAAAAAAAGAAATAAAACTTAAAAGGACTAATTCTGCCTCACTAAAGGCAATTTCTGGCATTTCTCTTTACCTCTCTGTAGGCAACAATACTAGTTTTCTTAATACTCCAAACGTCTGTAAGAGCTTGCAATTGTATCACTTATATCACATGAAAACTTAGCCTGTTTCATGTCTTCTATATAATTCTAGGTCGTTTTCCTGCTACCAGAGGAGAAGCCTATATTAATGGATATAATATTTCGGATAACATGATTGAAATTCGAAAAGAGTTGAGCTTCTGCCCTCAACATGACCTGTTGTTTGATGACTTGACACTATCAGAACACCTTTTTTTCTACTGGACGGTGAGTCAGAAGTATATCTTATAAAATCACTTAGTAAATTGGCTTTCTTCTTTGATATACAGATCTGTTAATTTTAACTTTTTAAATTAAATTTATTTAACTATTGTGGAAAAAAACATTAAAATTATACCTAGTGTATTACCTGATGTTGATACAGATATACATTGAACAATGCAGAAATCAAATTAAACATAAACCTAACTCTAATCCAAAGTTTCTCCCTTCCATTCTAGAGGAGTTCTGGCTAGGCTTCAGCATATTGTCCTGCAGTACTTGATCCAAGTCTCCTGACAGTATAGGTTACCAAAGGTCTGGGGCTGACTGCCCAGCTCCTGGCTCAGCAAGGGCCTTTCTTAAATAGCTACAATTATGTCAGTACTCAGAGTTGTTTTGTTTTTTCAATCTCTCCCATGTATATAGTATCTGTTGGTCCATCTTACACCAGCAAGAGGTCCAAACACAGTTTTCAGCATTTGCTATTCATCAGTTAGGATTAGATTCAAGTATATAGATGTTGCGATAAGCACACAACTTTGTTGCACAATGTACAACATCATTTTTCTGTTTCTGTTTTCTCTCTGTACTTCCTGCTTTCCCAGATGCTTTTCTCATTTGTTCATTCAGAAATTATCACCTTCCATGACTGTACTGCTACATTCAGCCCGCCAGCAAAGAGGAAGGTGTGAGCCTTCCCTCTGGTGCCACAGTACGTGGGGCTTTGGAAAGGTTTTCTTTTCCTCAGGGTTTGTCTCTTGCAGACTTGCCTTCTTATTTATTCCTGCCACTGTCCCCACCAGGAGAATACCATTACTAGTGTATAAAAGAAACAGAAAAACATTTGGTTCTCTGGATGTCTGTTTTCTTTTCCATTCAAATAAAGCTGTAAGGTTTCTCTTTATTTTCAGTCTGGACCAGGGAGCTCACTTGCAAGGTTGGATTAATTGAATTTCATGCTAAAGGGTATAGAGGAAAGTGGTAAATCACCATTGGCTCAGTGATACTCCAGATTCTAGGGTTCTCCATGACAACTTTACTTTTCACAGTTTTCTGGTTAGCAAGGTCAGTGGACTATAAAGAAGTGTATACATTTCCATAGCATCTAGAGCTCATCACAAATGTGTTTTCTGTCATCTCTTTGTTAATGAGCTACAGATAAATTCTAAATATAAAAGAAAACACAGTTCTTTGGTGATTAAATCCACAGCTCTGTACATATTCTGCCACCAACTTACATCTCTATTCCCTGAAAATTTTTGTTTTAGTAACTGTCCTCTAGATGTGAGGAAAGATGCATTTTTAATTGATGTACATAAAGCTGATGTGAAGTGTTTCTAGGGGTACACCTGCAATACACTTTCATATCTGTAGAATGTCTGATGATCCTTGACTTTGTGATAGTGACACTGTTTTTATGATATAAACCCTAGCTTCTTTTTCCAGGTCAAAGGAAAACCTAAGGACGTATGCTGTAGGGATATTGAGCGTATGATGTCTCTGTTTAACCTGAAAGATAATTACCATTCATTATCTGGCTCAATGAGTGGAGGAATGAGGCGCAAGCTCTCCATCATTATAGCGCTTTCAGAGAGCTCCAAGGTATTAAAAAGAAAGGGGAGCAACCCAGAGTGGGAGGTGAAGCAGGGCCTCTGTATGAGTTTCTGTCAGCTGTATGGAAAGCTCAGTTCTCTCAGAACCTGTTGTTTTGAATATGAAAGGAAACACAACAGTGTAGACAGGGGAATCATTTGCTTAGCTATCATGGCTGATACAATGTTTTGGATTGTTACAGTTTTCTTAGGTTCACATCTATTTTAGTTGTCATTCTGTAGCTTAGCTACAGCGTATCCCTTCACACAGCAAATAAGCCCATGAGGTGCTTAGTATTAATTATCAGTGATCATAGAATTGTTCTTCTGGCTTTTAGGTGGTGATACTTGATGAACCATCATCTGGCATGGACCCAGTATCAAGAAGGGCCACCTGGGATTTCCTTCAGCATCTTAAACGCCGTCGGACCATTTTATTAACCACCCACTACATGGATGAAGCTGACATCCTGGGTGACCGCATTGCTATCATGGTCAGGGGGACCTTGCACTGCTGTGGTTCTTCAGTCTTCCTGAAACAAATATATGGTCTCACTACATTTGATTATTCTTAAACTAGTAATACTATAATAACATTCTAAAATTATTTTCATTGTATTTTGGTTACAGAATTATTATTATTATTATTATTTAAAATTTTTTAGTTCTTTGAGATTTTCATATGTGTTTTGATCGTGGCTCTTTGCGATCTGAAACAAAGTTGCTGTTCCATTTTGTACTTACTGACAACCTTCTTTGTCTCTGGAATACAGTTCTGCATCCAGAGGGTTATTTGGATGATTGAAATGACTGACTGATTCGTTCCTTGAGAAGAGGAGGAACCCTGACTTAAGTTTCTATGTTTCCAAACCAGTATCAAATCCTCACCATAATGATATAAATCTGAAATTTAGTATTGGTAGTAACAATGTAATACAGAATAAATGAATCAGATAAGTGGGGGCTGGAGACGTGGCTCAGTGCTTAAGAACACTTGCTGCTCCTGCAGAGAATCTGGGTTCAATTCTCATTACTGGTATGACAGCTCATAATCATCTAACTCCAAGTGCCAAGAAGTTCATTGCATTCATACAAGCAGGCTAAAATAATTCTTTGATAATTATATCTGTGATAAGTGATAAATTAGTATTTTAAACAGTGAATTATTGTGGGTTAAAATTATAGCAGGATTTTTAATTAGAGGATATAAATGTAAGACATGGTAGAAGAAATCTAAGATTAAAGTATAGCAATGTAAGTAGAAATAAGTAAAGATTAATTAACATAAATTTATTCAGGATTTGAGTTCACTCAGTTCAGTTACTGATCCTTGTACAGAGATCCCTGCCCTGTCCTTTGTATATTAAGTTCAAATCAATAACCTACACTATAGACCTTAAGAATTTCATATATTGTATTTTGATCATATTCCCATATATATTTTTATTAGATTATTTTCTTTTATGTGTAAGGGTGTATTTGCCTGCACATGTGTATTTGCACCACATGTGTGCCTAGTACCCACAAAAGTCAGGGTATTGGAACCCCTGGAGTGCATTATGGGAGGTTGTGAACCACCATGTAGGTGCTAAGAACAAAACCTGGGTCCTCTGCAGAGAGAACAAAGTGATCCTGAACCATCTCTCCAGCTGCCCGCAACCCAAAATACATTTTTTAAAAATATTTTCTCGTGTAAGTTTAGATGCCAATTTTATTTTTCAAAGTTTATGATCACCTTACAGGTTGAAATGTCCTGCAGAAGATACATTTTTATTGATAGTGTTCACTGCTGAATCCTTGGGGTCCAGTTGAGTGTCTGAAACACAATGTACAACTAACAGGGAATGATAATTATAAAGATTTCTATTACAAAATAAGTATTCCAGTAACAGGGGGCTACACTTTGTATGTCAGCTTTGTCTGGTTATATATACTAAATCATTATGGTTCACTAAGGACCATACTGAAATTCTAGAGGTAGCTGCTATTTAGTCAATCCCTTCGAGTGCCATTTGAAAGCATCTGTAATAGCTGCCACATTTTCAGAGCTAAATGTCTATGGCATATTATATCTTTTTCTTTAGAAGAGTAGATAACCTGAAGCATAAAGAGAAAAAATTAGTCTTGCGAGTATTAAAAAATAAGTAGGAAGCATCTTCAATTGTTCATCTAAATGGTTTATTTCAGGTGCTGGATATCGCATAGTGATGGAGAAGGAACCATATTGTGATGTTTACAATATCTTTGCAATGATTCAGCATTATGTTCCAGACGCTGTGTTGGATAATGATTTAGGAAGTGAGTTATCATTTCTCCTACCCAAAAAGTATGTATCAAGGTATGGACCTCAAAAATTCTAGGTGGTTGGATGTGGAGTTACCAGAAACATATTTTCATTTCCTAGGCTTAGTAACCTTAGTGAGTAATAAACCAAGTTTCTCTATTTATTGCCACTATTTACCAAGTAGAATTAGGAAACTCACAGCTCAATATTTCTGTTACTAAACAGAGGATTACCTCATAATTTCAAGTTCACTCAAGGCTCATTTGATGATTTATTTCAAGTTTTCCTACCTAGTGGTCATAGCTTTCTAATATTAGTAATGGATAGTAATGACACTACATATCCATTGTACAAACAGATGCATAGAAATGGAACCCAGAGAAATATTAAGATGGTAAAGAGTAAAATGCAGATTGAGTGGCTACTCTTAGAGAAGCTATAACACATCTGTTTGCCCTCAGATACTAGCCAGATGAGTTATTGAAGGTATTTACCAAGATATTTCATTGTGATTATCATCCCAGCTAAGAAAAATGTACACTAAAGGTGTTTGTTATTCATCTTCAGGGATTGTACTAGATTTGTGTTCTTGTCAAAAGTTATTGTCACCTAGATATCCATCTCTGGTTAATACTGGCCCTCATAGGCTCATGTATTTGAATACTTAGTCTCTAGTTTGTGAACCTATTTGGAAAGGATTAGGAGGTGTGGCCTTCTTGGAAGAGGTGTGTTTCTGGGAGCGAGCTCTAAGGTTTCAAAAGCAGGCACCACTCTCAGCCATCACTTTCTCCCTCTCTCCCCGCTTTTCTGCCTCCTGCTTGTGGCTCAGATGTAAGCTCTCAATTACTCCAACACCATGCCCACCTACTACTACCATGCTCCCTGCCATGATGAACTATAAGCAAGCCCCCAATAAACTCTTTATTCTTAAGTTGGCTTTGATCCTGGTATCTCTTCACAGCAACAGAAAAGCAGCTAATGCATAAATTGGTGCCCAGGCATACAGTGTTGCTGTTGCATGGCCTCATCATGCTGGGTTTTTTTTTTTTTTTTTGGAGGGGAGTTGGTTTTAGGGGGCTTTATTTGTTTTGTTTTATTGTTTTCTTTTGTTTTTTGAGGAATATTTTTGAGGAATTTTAGTACTGTGAACCAGAGAAGCAGTTAGCAATCTAAGTGGGGCATAATGGATCATCTAGTAGATCAGAAGACAGGAATGCTGAGAGCAGTGTGGACTAGGGAGGCCCAGCTCAAAAAGTTTCAAAAGGGAGCAATAATTGCAATTGAGTTAGAAACATTCTTACATTTTTGTAAGGAATGTGGCTTCTTTCTGCCCTTGCCCTGGGAATCTGCTAAAACAAAATTGAAATGTTTGGAACTAATTTCATTTGCAGAGTAGATTTCAGGACAGCCTAGTACTGACTCTATTGTATGGTCTTTAGTTATCGCCCTTGTACAGATAGATCTACAATGAAAAAGAGAAAGCAGGGCAAAGAAAAATACAAAATGTGCCATTTGAGGAGAAAAATGTTACCAGAAAATTTAATGTTGATACCTTGGTTCATACTGAAAGAGATGAGGAAAAATAGAATGGAGTGGTCTTTCTTCTGAAGACTAAGAAAACAGTTGGAATGAAGACAATTAAAGACACAAAATTAGAAATAGAATCAAACCTGAACTGCAATAAAACAGGGCACATTTAGGAAGTCATACAGAATTCTCACAAGTAAGCCTCACCAGAGATTATAAGACATGAAAGAGAAATTCTCATGTGTTAAAAAACAAGATAGAAAATATGGATACCTCAGTAAAATAAAATGTTAAACTAAAAGTACAGAACAAAGAAAAAATATTAAAAGCTGTGAGAGGAAAACACCATGTAAAATATAAATATAAGCCCATTAGAATAAACTCTGACTTCTAAGTGAAGATTCTAACAGGTAGAAGGGCACTAAAAGACCACAGATGTCAGCCAGACTACTCTACCCTGAAAAACTATCAATCAAAATGGACAGATAAATAGAAAAGCCCATAATAAAATAAAGCTTAAACAATATCTATCTGCCAGTCAAAATCTACTGAAGGAACTAGAAGGAAAACATCAGTCTGAAGAGGTGAACTATACTCTCTTCTAGGAAAAAGATACAAGAAATAAATAATACTAGAACAGTAAATCAAAGGGAGGGGGACCCACATACAATAGCAAAAAAGAAATCAGTAAACACTGCTCAATGACAGCATTATTAATGATCTCATTACCAATAAAAACACACACACTAACAGATTGTATTAGAAAGCAAGATCCATCCTTCTGCTACATACAAGAAACACACATCACCATCGAGGATAGATATGACTTCGGTGTAGAAGGATGGAAAAAGCTATTCCAAATTAATGGATTAAAAAAGCAGGCATGCATAACTATTTTAATATTTGACAAAATAGACTTCAAACCAAAACTAATCAGAAGAGATAGGAAAGGACACTGTAAGTCATCAAAGGAAAATTTTACTGAGAGACTATAGCAGTTCTAAACACAAGGGCATCCGAGTTCATAAAAGTCATGCTGTCACAGTCAAAATCACATATTGACCTTCATACAGCGATAATGGGTGACTTCCATACCCAGCTTCTACTTATAGACAGGTCATCCAGGCAAAAACTAAACAGAGAAATGCTGAAGTTAAATAATGTTTTAAGTCAAGTGGACCTACCAGATATCTTTAAAACATTTCACCCAAGCACAGAAGAAATTTACCTTCTTTTTAGTAGTTTTGAATATTCTTCTCCAAAATTGACAGAGCAAGTCTCCGCAGATACAGGAAAGTTGAAATTACATCCTGCACTTTATCTGACCACTGTGACGTCAGCAGCAGCAGTAACAGGAAGTATCCAAACTCCTGGATACTGAACAATCATTACTGAAAGAAAAATTGGTCAAAAAGGAAATTTACAATTTTTTTTAGAACAGGATGAAAATAGAGCATATCCAAACCTATTGGACTCATTGATGGCAGATCTAAGAGGCAAGTTCATAACATTAAGTTCCTGCACCAAAAAATTGCAGAAATATCATATTTGTAACAACAACACACATTAAAACTCTATAACAACAAGAATAACAGCCTTCAGAAATTGTTTGAGAAGAAATAAGTTCAAGGTTCAAATCAATGTAGTAAAAACAAAAACAAAGAGTCAGTGAAATTAAGAGTTGGTTCTTTGAGAAAATCAAAAAGATTGACAAACCATTATCCAAATTAACTAAAAGATGGAGAGAAGATCCAAATAAAATTAAAGATGAAGTAGGGAACATTATGACAGACACTAAACCTAGAGAATCCACCAAACGAGAAAATTTGAATGGATTAATTTCTTGATATATATACAACCTGCCAAAGTTAAATGAAGATCAAATAAACAATTTAAAGACCCAGAACCCCTAGAGAAAAAGAAACAGTATGTAAATGTCACCCAACAAAATAAGCTGAGACCCAAATGGATTCAGTGCAGAATTATACCAGACCTTCGGAGAAGAATTAACACTGGTACTGCTCACATTGTTCCACAAAATAGAAACTGAAGGAATATTTTCTAGTTTATAGATACCACTCTTACCTTACCTAAACTACACAAAAAAATGATAAAATTAAAATTATAGACATCTATCATGGACATAGATGGACAATTTCTCAATAAAATAATTGTACGCCAAATCCAAGAACATATCAAAAACGCTATTCACTATGATTAAGTTGGTTTCGTCCCAGAGATGCAGGGATGGTTGAACATGTAAATTAATAAATGTCCACAACGTAAACTGAAAGGCACAAACCACATGGTCATCTAATTACAAGAAGAAAAATCCTCTGACAAAATCCAATACCCCTTGATGATTAAAGTCCTAGAGAAACAAGGGATATAAGGGACATATAAAAATTATGATGAAAACCATTTCACAGTAATTTCAGAGCCAACGTAACCTAGAAAGAAAGAAACTAAGCCTTTCCACTAAAATTGGGAACAAGTCGAAGATGTTCACTCGTCTTCCCTGTTCAATACAGTGCTTGAAGTCTTAACTACAGCAGTAAGACAACTGATACAAATAGAAAGGAAAAAGTCAAAGTGTATTTGCAGATGATATGATTATATACATTAAAGACCCCAAAACTATACCGAAAACTTCTACAGCTTATAAGCACTTTCAGAAAAGAAGTAGGATGTATGGGACATGGGGTCTTTATGCTTACAAACATCCACTAGGGGAGCCTGCAGTGTTAAACACACAGGCTTGTTTCAAGAAATACAAAACCTGTTTTCCATCCAGAAGGCCGAAGTGAACATTGTTTCTGGCCTGGTGACCTTTGCATTATCTGTGTGCATACAGACTTTTCCATCCCTGGACCATCCTCCAGACTCTTATTATAAATGACTTTTCTCAGGGTATAATAAACCTGTTTTTCTCTGTTGATTTATAGAACCTATCTTTATTGACTTTACAAAGAGCTTCAATGTAGTAATGTCTGATTGGTATTTAGAGTACTAACTCAGAGACCCAAAACTAAGCATTGTGCAGAGATTGAGAGATTTTGAAGTACTCGGTCCTTAATGTGAAGAGACAGAAAGATTTTCAGAATCAGAAAGGAATGAGTGACTCCAAGGAAACAGTGTCTTCATTCACAACAGGATCGACACGTGTGACTACAAAGATGCACAGTTTCAAGCCAGATGGGGGTCCAGGCGCTTAGGGAAGTGTGTTCATGGGATACAACCCTAACCAAAAAGCTATCTGCAGTTTACACATGTTTGCAAAGGAAAAAAAGTTTTTACTAATGGAGTCTCAGTGACTATTTTAAGCACATCTGAAGTAGGCCCCATGACCAGCAATAGATGGCCAACACGAAACAAATTCAATGATTTTTTTTTGTCCCATATTGCTTCATTTTGGGCATTTTCTTTTTAATCTTATTAATCTTTTGCTCTTAAATCATGGCTTCTAATTTTGTAGGTTTTGTGTGGTGTATTATGTGTTCCTTTTTGTTTGGTTGGTTTTGTTTTTC